TTGTTTTTGTGACGTTTAGTACCAAACGCCGACGACGCGGCCGTCGCTATAGCTTTATGGCGTTTGAAAAACGTCGTTATATTATTATAGGCGGCGTTTTTAAAAACGCCGTCAAATGTCCTACTAATTGTGCTGTGACGTCACTATGACATTTAGCGACGTTTTGGAAACGCCGTTAAAGATATTTATACATTTTAAAAATCTAACCGTTGGAGTGGGGATATAGTGACGTTCAAAAACGCCGCCATAGCCTTTATTTTTATTTTTTTTATTTTTAACGTTGTGCTAATTTTATATGGTTGAAAAAATACCTGTCATAAACAATTATTAAGAACTAATAATTGATGTTTATTAAAATAATAAATAAACTAAGTTTGAAAACAAAATTAAAAATAAAATAATGAGGCTCTTGACATGTTATTATACCGATTAGTAACATGATTACACTCTCATCTATCCATCACATAACACATTTGGTATAAAGTTCAAAAAAAAAATTATAAATAAATAATAATAGTAGAAGAAGAAGAAGAAATCTGATGCACCAACATTGTATTCAAGCAATCAATATTTTCTTTTTCCTTTTTGAAGACCCATCAAGTAGAGTAGAAAACTATGAAGAATCAATCAACATGCAAGAACCCTCCTATAATACAAACTGCAGACCATCTTCTTTAGATAAGTAAAGAGTTTATACAAACTGCAGACCATCTTCTTTTTTTAAGAGTCAGTAATGTATCATATTTCTCCACTTGTCCTTCAAATCAACCTAAACAAAAGAAGCCCTTATGTTAACATAAAGAAAAATAATATTAAAGCAGAAAAAAGGCACAACCATAAAAAATTCTCACCTCGGTTCTCTCTTCAAATATGTCACGATCTGAATTTAAGATGAGCTTCTAGTTCCCTCTACCAAACCTTCAAAAGAAATAAATACAAATGAGTGAGGAGCTTTACATTATCCTAGAAGATATCATTGATTATTTAATTCTCTCAGTTGACATGAAAACAGTAAAAAAAAATAACGTCCAATTAGTACACATTAATGTGTGTTTGTAAGGGGAAAAAGTTGACATGAAAACAGTCCTCGAAGAAGAAGATGACAGAACTTTCTACCCCAATGGTTAACTCATATCCCTTAGGGTGGTAAAACTGGTGCAGCATTTCAGGGTCAAACACATGCACATATAAAAAAGAAGATAGATCAGTTAAAATAAGGTTGAAAAGTACATATATAATAATTATTATTATTTTATTAAAAAAACAGATCTTATTAAAAGTAGCCCCAAATAGATAGCTGATATAACCTGAAGTCTTCCAGCTGTGTCCACTATGACCACATCCATATTCTTCCTTTTGGCCTCTTCTAGACCTTGCCTAGCTATTTCTGCAGGTTTAACACCAGTTCCTGCTGCATAAACAGGCACATCCACCTGTCCCAAGCTTATCATTGAATATGAGAATGAATTACGTGATCATGAATTTGAATCAAACATGAACGGTAACAAAGCAGAAAAACATAATAAATACAGAATATCATCTGGTTTCAACCATGTTGATCGGCTTTGATCCAAGAACCCCACTTTTATACCTAGTAAACCATATTGCCGCCTAAACCCATTTTTCCTGTTCAACACTTATTGACTACATAAAGACAACACATATGAAAGCCTTAGATATATCATGTGACAATAGAGCTATGTGACTCCAATGATAATATTCAAGTGTTATAGGAAAATCCAGATTTAGCATCAACGAAATGCTTACTTACCAAATAAATGGAAAGGAAAAACACATAAATAAAGAGTGTAAAAGAAGAGGATGAGAATTTAAATGAGTGTATTTCTTCATAGATCGATATCTGGATAAATTAACAATTCCATGAGCTGGAGTGATGTGATGATAAGTTTCTGCCAGTTGATGTCATGATAATTGAAATACCTGGCGGGGACCAAAGCCTATGGCCGAGAACTTATCTTTCATTTCCTGAACACTTTGCTTTTACCCACAGGGGAACCCTCCCTTCTGGACCTGGCTCTTGAGCATCTGACCTCCCAAATTGCTTGTCAAACAAGCCCCACTGTAGTTACAAAAAGCAATTGTATCCATTACATCCACGTCCCCTAATAATTTTGAAATAACTGATCACAACATTGGACACAAAATATATATGGCCGAATATAGTTTTTCAAAAGTGGATCTCATTAACAAATCATGTAAATTCTTTGACCAGTTTCTGTGTTCGTAGCAAATTTGATAATTTGAGTTAAGCGAGGTAAAGCATAATGGATACCACATATGAAATGTGTATACACAGAGACTCCACATAAATACACAGAGACTCCATGTGCAATTGTGCACACACTATAGTCTATTCATCTACCATAAATTTGATGATGAACATATTGGTAAAAACAAATGATTTATAGAGTACACTCCACATAAATACGATGACTGATTCCAGAGTATCTGAGCAAGTTAATGGCCATGTAGGTAGTGTACAGGACAAACTTGGTGATAAGTATGACATGCAACCTGCAAATTGGATGAGATCAGCAAATGAAATAGGACCACCCTTGGAATATGAATCTATTTCCTTCTTTGCTTCCTCTAATAAATTCATTGCGGCGGAGAGCCCCTTATTCTCTGGTCTGCTAATCTCTGAGCTTCAAGCAAGAAAATATAATTGACAAGAAAAAAATAATAAAAAAAACATCAAGGTAACATTTCAGCATTGACTTAAAAACTTCTAACCGAAAAAATAAGAAGCAAGGAGTGAAAACAGTTCAGCCAAAAGACGCAAATAAAAGGAAACTCTGATGCCTAAACCAACTAAATCCAGGATCCAAAACCTCAATACAATTTTGACAATTTAACATAATTTTCATATTCCATAACCTTTTTTTACCACATTTAATACATCTGCTTATCATCGACACTGAAATAATAGGGTCATTTTGTGAATTGGCATTAAAATCCCTAAAAAATAAGCCGGAACAAAACATAATAGATGAATCATCTTTGGTTTGGTGAAAATCTTCACTGTACATGAAATACCAATCCTAATTTTTGATAGAATGCAGAATTTCATTCTTTTACTTTATTCTTTAATACTACATACTTATGCGTGGTAATGCTATATGTTAGAAGTACCTGAAACGTGCAGATCCATTTGGGCCACCAGATTTTGTGGCCTGCAAAACTCAATTAGAATCATATGAGCTTTCTTGATATGTAATGTTTAGGAATAATATAAATTTCTACTTTCATCTCAAACTGTCAACAAGTAAAACTCTTTCTCACCTTATCATAAGTCATAGCATCATTCATCGCCAAAGTCAATAAGGATGGAACAAGATCTGGGTTTGCCTGAAATCGGCACATCAAGAATCAATGAAGCATTGTAGGTTTTAAATCTGTAAAATCAGGTCTAAATATGCATTACATTAAGATCAATTTCATTAAGCATGATGGCGGGATTTACCTTTATAGCTGTAAAAAGGGTCCCCTTCACACTTGCTGTCAAAGAAAATATGTTAATTCAATAGACACCGTCAATGTTAAATGTACATAACTATTTGGTATCATTTTCATTTTTCATGTTTTCAGAAACAAAAGCAATGAAAAGTTCAAAGTCATCCATCACTTCCAAAATTTTTCTAAAATTTGAAAACAACTATTTGGTGTTTTCCTAAAACTGGGTTGTTTTCAGAACTTTTTTTCTGGAAACACTTTACCTAACAAGTTTTCTGTGTTTTTTGAAAAATGAAAACAAAGAATAGAAAACAAAAATGACACCAACAGTTTGGAGTACTTACACTGAAACTCAGAACGCTGTCTGCGCTGTATTAGATCAGCAGCATTAGCCTCTTCAACAAATGAGCCTGAGCTTGCTATTATTTCCTAGGGAGAGACAACAACTGGCAGAAACTTATCATCACATCACTCCAGTTCATGGAATTGTTAATTTATCCAGATATCGATCAATGCAAAGTTCGAAAGTAATTTGGCTGGTAGCTTCGGAAGAATGCAGTACTCATTCTGTTTGTAGATTAAACTTTTGTTATGCTGATGCTTTAGTTTTATGACAAAAAACTTGATTCTGCAAAAGTGAATCTACTCACTGATTCTGAGGGATAATCAGTTGGTGCATACCCAGCTCTGAAATAGATGACTGCAATTGCTTGACCACCACTGCAGGAGCAAAGGCTTTCAACTGGTGAAAGTAATAACTTAAAAATAAAAACATCACATTGTAATCCAACAAATTTAGAACCCAAAACAAAAAAAAAATGAAATATTTTAAGCCACAAAGCTACGTACACGAGAAGGGTTCCATCAGGTAGAAGCTCCACTTGCTCATCAATTTCTGCCAATGTTTTTCCGAATAGTTGTAACAGCATGTGTGTTACAAAGTTAAGGTAAAATAAATAAAATAAAATAAAACACTAAAAATATGTGAAGAAAAAACTCTGAAGCTAAAAGTTTCCATCAAGATGGTATATCTGATAAATAAATAGCTGATGATAGTTATGGAAATTATTATTGTTTGACCTATAGTTATAAAAGGAGTTCAATTCTTGGCTTGACTTTTGCCACCGTTATTTGCCTTAGTGGCAGCCTTTCTCTTCCCGACCTTTCTGAAAAGAAGAGATATATATGATCCGTCATTATAATATTCCTGTTACCACTATATCCACCATTAAATATAACGATTATATGCATATAGAACTCATTTGACTCGACCTTGAAACTTCTGGTCAAGATCGTAACATTAAACAGAGTCATTCACATTAATGTAAACACCAAAAGCAAAACAAACAAAAAAAACCCACAAAGATGCAACTACAACCACCAAAATGTTACACAAACTTAGCAAACCTGTCGTCAACTGGCTTCAATGCCTCCTTTGGGACCCTGATTGCTGCCCCCTTACCCTTGGCAGCCTTCATTGTTACAATTGAATGCCTTAAAAAGTAAAACAGTCTTAGATTAGAACTGAAAATCTACACAGCCAATTTAGATCCCAAAAAAGTTAAACAAGACAAATATTCATGATAAAGCCATACAGGTCAACACAACACACACAAACATAGAGATTAATATTAACCTTAAAAAGACAAAATCAAGCATTTCTTTAAAAAAAATGAAATAGAAAAACTAACAAACAAATAAACAAAATAAGGAATTGAATCGATCAAAATAATCACAGAGAAACAGAACAGATCAAAAACGAATAATTAAAGTGATTTATTCTAGAAAAATTATTCCAGCAAACTATTTTTCAGTAACTAAACAGACAGAATCACAGATTTGAAGCTCAAATAACAAACAATCAACAATCAAATTAAACTTCATAAACACAATCATATACATACATACACATATATACATATATATATATATATGCAATTTGTATAGATCAAAAAGAAAAACAAACCTCTGATCGAAGAAGATGAAGAGTTCCAAATCCACGGAGATGAATCATGGAGCTGTGCTCAAAATCAAACTTCGAAATCACAATCCTGAGATGAATCACCGACCTGTAGAAGAATCGAAGAAGAATCACTAAGAGAGTGAAGAAGAATTGAGAGCCCTTAGGGCTTAAGACCTATATAGAGCCCTAAACAAAAGTATTCACTAAGCAAAACATTGATCCAAAACAGGGATAAATCACAAACAGAACAACTAACCTCTGATCGAAGATATAAATCACGGAGCTGTGCTCAAAATCAAACTTCGAAATCGCAATCCCGAGATGAATCACCGAACTAAAGAAGATTCGAAGAAGAATTGCTGAGGAAGAGACTGAGAAGAATCGATCCTCTGAGAGAAAGAGATTTGGAGAAACAGATTCGATTCTCTGAGAGAGAGAGAGCAAGAGAGTGAGTGAGACAGGATTTGATCGTCTTGACGGCAGTGCTGAAGATAGGGTTTCCAAAATAAAGGTTTGGAGAGACAAAAGAGGGTGGAAAGAGAAACAGGATTTGGAGGCGCTTTTTAAACGTCTTCCATTCACAAAACGGTACCGTTTTAATTTATAACAAATGCGACGTTTAAAAAACGTCGTTAATTATTAGAAAAAGTGACGTTTACTAAAATGCCGTTAATTAAACGCCGTTAAATCCTTAATTTCCTGTAGTGTAGATTCAAAGGTAATATATATTCCGATCGTATTTGAAGCTAATTTTTATATGTATGTGTTTGAATTTATAAATTTTGTTCACTATTTTGTAGATTTTAAAGATTTGACATTGTTTTCGGCAAAAACTTTAAGCATTCAAGGTATTAATCAATTTTCACATTTTCTATGATTGATCATAAGCTAGATTGCTGAGAAACTTTCAATTAGTTCACTATCTGGCTAAAATCTCTATTTTTCTTTTTTGCCTTTAAATTTGCAATAGCTAATGTGCTTTTCTATTGATCTTGAGCTTTGTATGTAAGTTGAGGTCATAGCAGTGACGGGTCAGTAGTCATATAATACCAAACGCCTAAATAAACAAACCCCTAACAAATTTGGGGTAAAATTGTTTTGGATAGCTAAAGAAAATGAAATTAAACATTCTTTATTATATCTTTCTAGGAAACACAAAAGGAGTACAAGATTTGCAAAGAGGATGACAAAGTTGTGCTTTCTAAAATTGAATGTGACAAGGCTTTCAAACTTCAAGTCTTTTATCGAACAATTAGGCATACAAACTTCCATGTCTATTCACATATATACTTAGCTTCAAACATGAAACCTTTATACTATCATCATCACCTTCATATATAAGGAAGAGGGATGAGCCAAAGCCCAACCAAAGCTGCTTTGAGACAAGAATATTCAGATTTCAAATTATAATAAGCAGTCCAAAATCTTATAAGCTAGATTTGCATTTGAAACGTAACTTATGCATTTTCATTTCACAAACTAGTGATAATGCCCATACAAAAAATACAAAACAAAACATAATTAGGTTGATTCTAATTATGTCAAAACCACAATTTAAGATAGCATTCACAATATCAATAGATTTAAGTTCCAAAGAAGATATATTGTTGTGTTTGCTTGTTGACCTTCAAGTTTTCGTCACATTTGTAGAATTTTGATATCTTTTAGTTGAGCAAAGAGTTTGGAATTATCCAATGAGAGATGAAAACACCTACACAGAAATAAAATAATAAAACATAAGGGGCATCCCTTTCATTGTACAAAAGTGCACTTGATGTTTAAGGCTATAACATTGTCTACTAGTATATTTTTTAAAATTAGTTGCTTGTCTTCTGATTTTGTTTAGTATGCCATTTATGTTTTTTATTTTATTTTATTTCATTCTATGATATTTGAGTGTGCTTGAACTGAATATCTACCAAATGGTGGACTAATGGCACTTGTTAAGCCATTATGGATGCAGAATAGTGTCTTCACCTCTGCAACTTTACATACCAAAATGTCCATGTATATATTTTAAGGTGCTAATTTGTGCTCAAAAGGATATTAGACACAGATTCAGGTTTTTGGCTTTATATACCAAAGGATTTTGCCTCCCTTCTCTTCCCTTAGGTTGCTGCCCCTGAACTTTGCCTTTACTTTCATTGAATGTTGCAAACTTTGGTTGTCTTTAGGTTAATATTATTTACTTGCTAGCAATTTTATTACCTACTGGTACTGTACATTCTTCAGATCTGCATTTGGAATTTTTTATTACTAATTTTACCATGTATAGATAAAGCAATAGGTTGTGGCTACACTTGTTTGAATCTGGTATGAATCTTTCGGACGATGTAATTGGAAGTATCATTGACATGGTACTACTTCCTCGATCTAATTGACGCTTTTTATATGCCAAGGCCTTTGTAATATTGATGCGGGATGCTCACCATTGTGGTTATAATCACCCACTTCCCATAATTTTATGTTATACTCTGAATTTGTTATCTCACTCTGTTACTTTATGCACATCTTGAAGATGTAAGCAACCCTGTTGGTACATTTTGGTAAATAACATGGACTACCTTTGAGGCATATGAACATGTATAATCATGTTGATATAGGAGGGATACACAAACAAATCTTTGTCGATTAGTTTTGTTTTAGTTTTATTTTTTTTTTTTTTTTTTTTTTGTTTGTAACTTCACAGTTGAAAGACAAAATAGAAGCTCATTGAGGGAATCAAGGATCTCTATTGATTAGATGATATTACAGAGTCATAATCTATCCCTACTGTTTGCCTACCATTTGGCTCTTGTTGCCTATAGATGCAAAACCCACAAGGAAATTGAGGAAGAAACCCTGTTTTCCATTTTTTTAGAAATGGAGACAGTTTTTGAGGTCTTGACAAGGATGTATCAGTTGTGTGAAATAGTGAAAGCCTGTGTGTTCACCGTGAGAGTGCCAGATAACCTATTTTGGATTGTTACTTTCAGTAAAACTGAAGTCTATCTTAAACATCAAGGAAGCACAAATATGGAATACAGGGTACAAATATGATATGATAATTTGTCAAAATCTATATATATAATAAACTAAGATATAGCTATAGCAGGGTACAATAGTAAAAATATATATTTGAACGAGTCAAAAGTGAAAGACTACCTATTTTTTCACTCAACAGACTTGTAATTCCTCATGGTTTTTGGTAATTTAATCGTGATTTGGTGAAATGAAGCCTGAGTAATTGATGCAGGACAAATAGGGACAGCGTTGTAAGGACTGTTCTAGGGTTGTGAAAGTGCTGAAATTTAAGAAGAAAAAAAAAAAAAGAAGATAAATTTAGGAATCACTCCTAGAATCCCTTAGGCATCACACAACCCATAAAGAAGCTTCAAAGTTCTCAACTTTTTATAAAATATCAACTTTATTGAATTATAAGCATTACGTGACTTTATATAGAATTAGGGGACTTTTTAAATCAACTATAACCAAAAAGGAAACTATTATAATATCTTTGACTTCTAAAACTAATTTAAGACTAAATAAGAAACATAAATAAAACTCAATTAAACCCACAAGACGACTCATGGGCAACCCCTATAGTCCATGACAACAATAATGAAATTATCAAAATACCCTTGACCTAAAAATCCTACAAAACATAAAAATAATCATAAAATAATACTATAAACATAATTGTATAAAATTCCTATCAGTTTGAAATCATGCCAATGTCAAATATCATTGCTTCTTTGAATTTAGCATTCCTTGAACTTCTTATACTTGCATCATTCTTCCTTGGTTAGAAAAAACTCAACCTCGAGTTTTGAAGTGTTGGGAGTATAGGAATCCACAAGCTTTGAAATTGCATCCATGGCTTCATATTAAAATGTTCAAGTTGACGCCGCCTTTTCTTCGTTGCATGAGATTGCAAAAAAAATAATGAGAGATTGATCTTTTCAATCATGTCACTAAATTTTTCTGGACTAACAAAGTCAATTGGCATAGAAATCAAATCTTTGAATTCATCCAAATCAATTTTCATATGACTTTCTTTGATATTCCCAACTTCGATTCTTTTCTTTTTAGCTTCTTTTCCTAGCACAAGGTCATCTTTTGATTCGCCATTGGCTACTTCATTGATTATGATTGGAACAAATTCAGTAGGTGACTTTGTAGGCACATCGGAGATTTCTAGTTGCAATATCATGACCTTTAAAGCCATAATAAGTTCTGGAACAGCAATAGGATGCATTAATTCTTCACTCCTTACAGCTTGTGTGACATCCGAGTCTTCTATTTGGACCTCATCCTTTTCTCGAGTAACAATTGGATCTCCTGGGGGTGCTTTTGAATCATCAATAAGAGTATTTTTTTTCCCTTTATAATTTGACTATTTACGACCTTCTATTGGACTGCTTGCCTTTCCAAAGAATTAAGCTGAACTTGAAAACTATATAACTGCTCCACAATTTTAAAAAGAATTTGAGCTCTTTGGTTTTCAAAAAATATTCTCCTTCTGAGAGATCTCCTAGGATGCGTAGACATGTTTTTGAACTTCCACAAAACAATAGAATCTTTCACCCTGATACCAAACTGATGCAGGACGAATAGGGACAGCAACAAATCTAGGCTTTTGGGGCTGATTTTAATTGGATTTTATGGCTGCAATTGCAATAAGAATATGGGGAACAAGGAGGGTTTGTTTAGGGTAATATATAAGTAAGAGTTTAAGTATGAAAAGATGGGATTTTAGCACTATTTAGGGGCTGTTATAAGGCTATGAACAGTAACTCGTGAACAGTAAACTAAAACAGAAAAGAAGAAGAATGAAGAAAATAAATCTAGGAATCACTCCTAAAATCCCTTAGGCATCACACCTAGGTTTGATTGCATCACATAACCCATGAAGAAACTTCAAAGCTCTTAACTTTTGTTAAAATATCAACTCTATTGAATTATAAGCATTACATAGCTTTTTATAGAATTAGGGGACTTCCTAAATCAACTATGACCAGAGAAAAATGAACTATTGTAATATATCTAACTTCTAAAACTAATTGGAGACTAAATAAGAAATATAAATAAAACCTAATTAAATAACTTGACTCACAAGACGACCCATGGGTGATCCCTACAGTCCATGACAACAGTTATGAAATTACCAAAATATTCTTGGCCTAAAATTCCTACAAAACATAAAAATAATCATAAAATAATACTCTAATAATACTAGAAACATAATTATATAAAATTCCTATCAGTTTCTCTATGATATCATGCTAATGTCCAAATATTATTGCTTCTTTGAATTTAGCCTTCCCTGAACTTCTTATACTCTGCATCAATAATGAAGTTGTTCACTAGCTTTGCCTTTCTATTGAGTTTGTTGAGCACAAGCTGACATTCTTTGCATTTTTTTTTTTTCTTTCAACTTTGAAAGAATGCCTAACCTAACACCACACAAAATGCACAACTGTTTGCTGCTTTGAAATTCATAGTTTGTTTGCCTTCCGATGTTGCATAATATTCCCCCTACTTGTTTTTTTAATAAAAATAAAAGGTTTGATGATATGTTTTTGCACGGACATTATGGAGAGTCGACGTTATACTAAAGTAAATATTTTGTTCAAAGTCGTTCTCAAAGAAATTCTTGAGAAGTTTAATCTTAAGCTAGCAATTCACTCAATCGAGAAAATTGGATGTAATCATAAACCTGCTTTCATAGCTAGTGTTGACAAGAAAAAGAAGTTTTATGGAACAGAAAATTCAACGAAACAAGGAGCCAAGAAAGAAGTAGCTATGATGGTGATCAAGCATCTTAACAATCAAACTGAATTGGCAAATGTCAAAGCAGACCATGAAAAACTACATGAAGATTATGACAAACTTTCGGCTGAAAATGAAGAATTGAAGAAGTAGCTACAGAATGCAATTACTCAAAGTGAAAAATCAACTGGTAAGAATATGAAATAGACTGCTAAATTGCTAATATCTTCTGCACAGCTTTTAGAGCATTGGCTTTTAATCAGGGAATACTTCTCACTCCACTCAGCAAAATATAATACATTTCTTCCTTTTAAGACTATGAATATATATTATTGTCTTTCTAGGATCAAGTGTCAATTCCAATATGTTGATATTTGTTGAATGTAAGGAATGTTTTCAATAGAGGTAACATTTTTTGTTTTTGAATAATGTAGAAAATGTTGACTGCTTATTCTTTTCAAAATTCTTTTAATACTACTTGCCTGTATCAATATATTTTTATTAAGCCATGGTGAATTGCATAATTAAATAACTTGACTCACAAGACGACCCATGGGTGATCCCTACAGTCCATGACAACAGTTATGAAATTACCAAAATATTCTTGGCCTAAAATTCCTACAAAACATAAAAATAATCATAAAATAATACTCTAATAATACTAGAAACATAATTATATAAAATTCCTATCAGTTTCTCTATGATATCATGCTAATGTCCAAATATTATTGCTTCTTTGAATTTAGCCTTCCCTGAACTTCTTATACTCTGCATCAATAATGAAGTTGTTCACTAGCTTTGCCTTTCTATTGAGTTTGTTGAGCACAAGCTGACATTCTTTGCTTTTTTTTTTTTTCTTTCAACTTTGAAAGAATGCCTAACCTAACACCGCACAAAATGCACAACTGTTTGCTGCTTTGAAATTCATAGTTTGTTTGCCTTCCAATGTTGCATAATATTCCCCCTACTTGTTTTTTTAATAAAAATAAAAGGTTTGATGATATGTTTTTGCAGGGACATTATGGAGAGTCAACGTTATACTAAAGTAAATATTTTGTTCAAAGTCGTTCTCAAAGAAATTCTTGAGAAGTTTAATCTTAAGCTAGCAATTCACTCAATTGAGAAAATTGGATGTAATCATAAACCTGCTTTCATAGCTAGTGTTGACAAGAAAAAGAAGTTTTATGGAACAGAAAATTCAACGAAACAAGGAGCCAAGAAAGAAGTAGCTATGATGGTGATCAAGCGTCTTAACAATCAAAGTGAATTGGCAAATGTCAAAGCAGACCATGAAAAACTACATGAAGATTATGACAAACTTTCGGCTGAAAATGAAGAATTGAAGAAGTAGCTACAGAATGCAATTACTCAAAGTGAAAAATCAACTGGTAAGAATATGAAATAGACTGCTAAATTGCTAATATCTTCTGCACAGCTTTTAGAGCATTGGCTTTTAATCAGGGAATACTTCTCACTCCACTCAGCAAAATATAATACATTTCTTCCTTTTAAGACTATGAATATATATTATTGTCTTTCTAGGATCAAGTGTCAATTCCAATATGTTGATATTTGTTGAATGTAAGGAATGTTTTCAATAGAGGTAACATTTTTTGTTTTTGAATAATGTAGAAAATGTTGACTGCTTATTCTTTTCAAAATTCTTTTAATTCTACTTGCCTGTATCAATATATTTTTATTAAGCCATGGTGAATTGCACAGATGCTTTGCACAAGCCAAATGAGTTAGACATAGCTGTTAGATTGTAATCTTAAAACACACCACACTTCCATAAAACAAAACACAAAGAAACAAAAAAAAGTTTGCTTATATTTCCAGCATCTTCTAACAAGAATGAGAAGAATATTCAAAACGCAAGTAGCATAACTTTGGCTGTTTTCCTACACATCAGTTCATGAAGTCAAAAGGGTTAAATAACTAACTCTGAATGCCAAGTCTAGTAGTATGTAATTCTATGGAGAGAAAAAAAATCCGTATTTTATTACATGTTTTTGTAGACAAATTTTTGGGACTCGTACGTAAAAAGCTTAATGCCTTATGTTCCTCAATAATCAGGGTAGTAAATTTTTTGGTGTTGCATAGCATTTTGATTTTTGATTTAATTTTTTTAAACATGGTGTTTAGTTTAATTTGAGTTTGTATTGTAATCCCTATGGATTTGTGTTAGATTACATAGTTGGGAAGTACTTGTAGATGATTCTTTAGTACAAATTTTGTTATGTTTTTTCATAGAGACAACTAACGTCGAATTACAAATTTACAGATATGCTTTCTGAAGACTTGAATACTGATTTGCCAAGGACCATTGCATCTATCAGTTCATTCTTTTCTAACGGTAAAATATGTATTGTCAGCAACGCCAATTCATACGAAGCAACCATGAACTGTGATATGTCAACGTTTTGTCATCTTCTTCCAAATAATGATAATGTTCATTATTGGTATAAGTTCTCATCGGAGCACAAAAGCTCCCATTTGCTTGGAATATTAGGGAAGGCCCGTGTAGGAGATGATCAAATAATACTATTTTCTCAACCCGTGGACCAAAACTTTGAAGATTGGACGCAACACAATCTTCTCATCAACCAAGACAATCATTTGACACCTTCTTTTACGGCCCTTTTATTGTGAGTGCATCTCTCTTTGTTTGTCTCTATTATTGATTTTGCAATATGTTTATTAATTTCCTTTTTGTTTTCTATATTGTAGGGATATGTTGAAGGGGATAAATTACTTTCATAGTGAACTAAACCATGCACATGGTGAAATATGCGGAAAAAACATTTATGTCATTGATGGGAGGGCAAAATTTGCTAATGTGGTGGATATTAATTTTAAAAAATCTTATATTGATGATATCAATAGCTTTTGCAAAATGGTAAAATCACCATTCAAGGCCAAAAACATTCCGCTTCCATTGGAGTTGAAGTATCTTCTTTCAAGCTTGAAAAAACCAAATGGGTGAGTTGCATGATTAGTTCAATACTATCTATTTGTATTACTCTAATTGAATTTTAATATGAGATTGCTTCTTTTGTCCACAGGTTGTGTAATTCTCTTAACCACCCTGTTCTGTTGAATTCATATGGCAGAGCCATGTACAGGCATATGGCACTTAAGGAAACCCGTCATATGAAAAATTATGGGAACTTCAACCAAGCAATGATAGCAGCATATCCTAAAGAAAAAAACGAAAATAGAAATCTGAACTTTTCTTGGATTAAAAAAGTTAGGGATGGGAAGGAATCTTATTCGTCAGTGTTGTATTATGACCCTAGCCAAAAGGATGGACAAGGCCAACAAATTAAATACAACAATTCGCCAGAAGAGTTTTTATGATTCAGCAGAAACGTTCAACTACACCTAGACGTAAGAATATCAATTTGTTACTAATTTTGTTCGAGTATTTTTGAATTTTATTCTAATTTTGTATTTTTTTGGTTCAGGAGACAGAGGAAGAAAAAGACAAGTATTTGAATTCAATTGACCCGCATTTTTTGGGGATATTGCATGATATACTTACTTCACAATCTATATTTGTAAGAAAGCTTCCAGCTTGATATATGTGATCTCTCTTCCTTATATTTTCGTGGCTTTTCTATTAAACATAAGGGACACAATAAAGTAACATTCTTTTTATGGTCATAATTTTTTTTCTAATGCAACTGCATTTGATTTATTTATGCTTTGCATCCATTCTTTATTATTTATCTTTGTAGTTTTTCCTTTCATTTACAAAGCAACTTCTATTGTACTCTAGTTTAGTTTTTTGTTTTTTTCTCCTCATTTCACATCCAGATGGACATGAAAAACATGAATTTGGTTGAAGAAAAATCAATTATGGGAAATAAAGCCGCATATGACTTCTTCTTGAATTATGTCATTTGAAAAGATACAAAATGAGTGAATTTTTTTTTTTTTTTTAACACCATATTTGTATTTTGTGGTATATACACCAGTGACAGAGGAACTATGAAACTGATAATTTTGGGATTGTCAAACAGATAAATTTGGAGTGATGGGTCCCCTTACAGGCATTTTTTGGGATTGTCAAACAGATAAATTTGGAGTGATGGGTCCCCTTACAGGCATTGAGGAGCAAACTTGGGCTCAAGCAATTCAATTTTAGAAAGGTGATGTAGCTTGAAACCAAGTCACTTTCACAGCATCTCATTGTTGTAAATGTGTAGAACCAGATTCTAAGTGGAAGATTACGACTGTGTTTGAATTATGGATTTAGGTACGGATTTGGAAAGAGAAAGGGAAATGTGAATGAAATATAACTACATTTTTCACACTTTTCACACACTTTTTCATTTCCCTTTCCAAATCTCTACTCAAATCCATTATCCAAACGCAGCCTATGTTATTGTAAGATGATAAGAAACAATTATACTCTTGATTGTGTTGATTTGGATGTTGGCTTTCGATGCTACTTCTAAATCAACTTATTATTACGTTGTATTCTTATATAAATAATTTTTTTTTTTAACAAACTGATGTGACACTTGTCATATTAGTAAACTAGATGACATTCGGAAGTTTTATCACTCCATGCACAGTATGTAAGAAAAAATTGTAAAAAAGTTTGTTTGTATAACATTTTTCTTATTTGAATCATGACTTCCTTCTTTTTTTTCTTTTTCTTTTTTTTTTCTTTTCTTTTTTTTTTTTTGCAGGTTCCTGATTGTGGTGGCGATGCAGATGACAAGTGCTGATACTAGAAGGTATTTTGGAGGGCAACTGTGTTTTGCTTGCTTAGAAAAGGAGGAGCTATTGCGGATTTCGTATTTCTCACCTTTTTCTTTTACTGTTTCTTTTGTGATCGATGTCATTCCTTTTGTGACGGATTTGAACACAACTACTGCTTTGTGATTTGAGTTTGTCATTTCTTTTGTGAAGGATTTGGAACACAACTACAGCTTTGTGGTTTGAGTATATTAGAAATGGTTATTGTGTTGAAAAAAAAATTGTATTTTGATGGCTTGTGGTTACAATGGGTAGTTTTAATGTTATGGTAAATATGGTCTTAATGTTAAAATATACCAAGAGTTGCCATGCAATCTATGTAATGGAAGCATGAATAGGAGAATGTAATTAGAATAATATGAATGATACTTTCTTCTCCAAGTCTCTTCCAAAATTGTGTGAATAATTGTTGTGTAGCCAATTTTATTTCCAACACATTAGACTTTGAATTCCTTTTGCTCATGTTTTAATGTAAATCTATCGTTTTGTTTTTTGCCGACTCTGTGGTGTTGTTAGTGCGTTATGAATTTTGTAATATTTTGTTTGTCGCTAGATAGTGCAGAAGCAACCCATATCTTTCATTTGGTTTTCTCTAACAATTTATTTTCTCCGGCCATTCCAGAAATCTTTTTTTTCCTTGCACATGGCCAGCTCCTTCTCCACATGTTGCAACTTCTTTCACATGGCCAACACATGAGAAAAGATCACCTTTGTGCATTTGTAGGTTGGCAAGCTTGTGCACTCACATGTGAAGGGAATCACCCCTCACATGGGATGATATCCCACAAGTGAAATGTTATAACCAACAAATAAAAATATACAATAGGCTCAAAGAACAGCCTGGAAAGACACAACAAGCTTCTCAGAAGCCACAAAATATATTAACTAGGCCTTACTAAATGAAACTATCTCAACCCAAGAGGCTAGGAAACAAGAAACACAAGAGCAAAACGTCTCACCACATAAGAGGCTAGGTTACTATCCGCTCCCACCTTGTCCACGCTTGGAACTTATAGAATGAGATGAGACAACTATATCCCACAAGCTGACTTCAAGATCTGAAGTTTCTCTTTCAACTTTTTACTGTTCTCTACCTGAGAAGTCGGGGGATTATCAACCTTGTTGTCACTTTAACTTGAGGCGAGACAAGAATCAAGAACATTAAACATGTTCGTACTCTGAGGAGCTTCACACCTTTTAGATAGATCTTTGGGATGTTCCTTTGCATCCTCATTCACACTTGCACCATTGTTCTCATCGATAACTCCCTTCGTTGGAACCTCAACCCAATCATTCAGTGGGGCTTTACTCATGACCTCTTTTTTCCTCCATTCTTGCTTTATGGTAGTTGTAACAATGAGAGAAGAGGGACATACTTGTTGGGTGTGTCCAAGGAGTCTCTACCCTAATTTTATAGGGTTCGCCATAACCCAAATCAAGATTTAAAAGTTTTTGGGATATCGTACAAAGCTTGGATTTCGACACAAATCCTAGCATATGCAAGTCTACTCCTAGATTGAGTAGCTGAATCCATGGTTCCCAATTGAGTAGCTTAGTCCCTCCAAACTTCAAGCGGAACAGTAAAACAATTAACCCATATGGCGGCACTAGAGAATACTTGTCTTTTCATTTGTACTTTTGGGTAACAACGTTGAGTAGAGTTTTTTTTTTTTTTAAGTTTTTTTAGAGTGGTGCATTGGGTGGTTGAGATTTAATGACAAGTCACATCAATTTTTCAGTATTAAAGTGTTTGATTCACTGAAATAGAATGATTATTTCATCAAAATATCAATTTTCAAGTATGGTAGACTAAAAAACAATAAAAATTACATTATAAATTAGAATCATTGTCGCCATTTTAAGGGAATAGTAAGTCTTTCTTATCTTGGTTTTGTCCAACAGTTAGTGAACTCTTAGCTTGGTTTTTTGTCTAAGAGCCTAAATGAAATCTGATATTCTCCTGCTGCAAGTGAACAGAGTTGTTTGAACATGATCGAGTTTGGTTCAGTAAGAATTCGTTTGAACTCAGTTCTTTAAATTTTTTTGTATTCGAGCTTGAGCAAAATTCGGCTCGTTAATTTTTTTGTTTAATATTTATTATTTATATATTAAATAATTTAAAAATATGTATAAAAAATAAGATAAATATGTTATTTATATATTTAAAAAATATAAATGTAAATAATAGTTAACTATAGATAGTATATTTATATAATAGTGGTAGCAGATATTATTATTTTGGTAACATATTGACTTTTTTTTAATATGTTTATATATATTATATATATAATTGTATAATCAAAGTTTTAATTGTAACTTTAGTCTCATAAGCACGTATGAATTTATAAATTTTTGGCTCGTTAAAGTTTGTGAACAGACTTGAACTCAAGTCCAGCTTATGCCAACTCGACTCGAGCTCGTTCGTTAAATTTTTATTGAGCTCGAACTTGAGTGCGAATTCGTTAAAATCTTAATAAATAAATCCAAACATACTAAAACTCAGCTCGAATATACTTAACTCGTTTGCAACCCTAACCATTTTTAAGAATATTTTCAACCGTTTCCTCATCTTGAAATTTAAAGATAAAGAAACCATTATCCGGAGTAAGAACCTCAACCCCATCATTTTTCCGTAACTTTTCGGCACACTCTTAGCAAAATGAAAGGGCAGTTTCTTGCTAAAAAAGTATCCAACTAAAGCATGATGCCATTGAGACAAACCTCTCTTAGAAATTTCGGGGGAACATTGATATTTTCCCCTTGCTTAACCAAGTCCATATTATGAGATTTAAGATTTAATCCATTGGAGTTTCTATACAAGGTTTTTGGAATAAAGAATCCCAAATGGGGATATTGGGTTTACTTGTAGCTGACACATCATTCAAAGAATTAGGTACAACAAGCCTATCTGATTGCACTTGAACTAAATCCACCAATTCTATATTTGATTCAACTGGGCCTGTTTCCGTCTTCCTTGAGCCACAACTGCGAGGATGAGTCAATCTATTCCATGGAACGATGAAGGCCCTGTTCGCTATAATTTATCTTAAGTTAAAAGTTGATAATTAAGAAGTATAAGTTAAAAACATCTCTCCTCCAGCTTTTAGAAGATCAGATTTTTTTTAACTTTTATTTAAGTTATTTCTATCTAATAAGCCATAAGTAAAAGCTGCACATAATGGCGCTCTTTGTTTGCTCTTCTTGAAGGACAACTTGATCCCCTATTTTTTCCTCTGTCTCTCTCTAAGCATTTCTAGATTACTGCTCTAAGCAATGAAAAACAGAAAACTCTCACCGACTGTTTGCAAAATTTTCTCTTCTTCCTTATCTCTTCGAAAGAGACGAACACGGAGTGTTTGGGTTTTAGAGCAAGACGGAATTCTAGCTTGATAAAGTCACCAAATCAGAGCGGAGAGGTGGATATGAGAGTAAAAATTTACTGTTACGGTAAAACCGATGATGTTGTATCATCAATTAATAATAAACTTACATATGACGAGTAAATCTCACTTTCAATGAATTACTGTCTTGCCACATTTATATGAAAAGATAAATGACAAAAAATTATTAGATTGTAATACCAATGGCACAGTGTCATCGTTGCATTCCGACCAATGAGTTGGGCAAATTCAAGCGAGATATACAGTACTTAATAATATTTTAAGTAGTTTTTCAGGCGAGGCCTAATTTGGGACCAAGCCTATACTTTATTCCCAAACTTGTCTAAATATAAAATAAAAATCCCAAATCCAATATGATAAAATTTAAAAAAAAAATAGTATCACTTGTAACAGTTTAGGTGCCACTTTAATCTGGTAAATTCAATAACACACCCTAGGTGTGTATCATATAGTCCAATTATGATCCTATTTTGAGATATCATGTGTCTCAGTTATGACATTTATAATATTTAACTATGACTTATTATGCTATTGATTATAACTCATTATGATGTTGATTATATCATATTATTACTATTTTAATTATAATCGAAAATGTCTTTAGTTATATGTTGTGTTTGATTATGTCACTATTATTATTTAATTAACGAAGAGATTAAAGTAATATTTTACTATGACTAAAATGGCACAATTGGCAATTTAACCTTATTTTGTAATTTTTAAATTTAAATACTTAATAAATTATCCATAAAAAATAAATCAATGATAAATGTTAACTAACAAAAAAATTTAAAACAAATATAGAATTAGTGTTAATTTTTGTTAATTTTGATTGTTTGTAGATGAAATACTAATCTACTTAGCAAATAAAAAATATGAAAAAAAATATTTCTTGTTGTATTCCCACTGTGTCCATGCCCCTATTTTTTTTTTGAAATCACATTGTCCGTCCTTGAATCCGCATCACCCGCATTTGTGACGTGCCTGTGCGGCTTGGCAAACCAAGGATTGTAACTCTACACATCCCAAATCAAGTACTATTAGACATGAATTCCATTGCTAACATATGCAAACGCCAATTAGGGTTTTCAAGAAGGCCATAGAGACCTACACATAAAGACGGCCATGTTCCACTAATATAGGCTTTCGGAAGCTTTGTACAAGTTGAGTACTCTGGCCATATGCATTGATATTGCTTTGGCAAAGCCACCAGTAGAAAAGAAGAATATAGCAGATGAGCTCTCCAACCGTCAATCTTAGCTTCCACAAGCTTGTGAACGCATTGAGCACTTGGAGAAGTGCATTTACAGTTATTTGGTAAAACCACTGGTTGATACGATGAATAAAGTTACATGGCACTACCATAATTAAGACAACCATAACACAGAAAATGAGCCAACTGATGAGGAGAAGACAATTGAGCCAATTTGGGACAAAGAGGGAGACACAGGACACTACAGAAAGAGTTACCGAGATCATAATAACGAGGTCAATGATTTGAGAGTAGTTTCTGCTGATAGCTCGCCCTTGAACAAACCCTCTGATCACAACTGCCAAGCCATAAGTGCATATTGATATAAAGAAAGCTCGCATGCTCACAGAGTTCGTTTTGAATGGAGAGACGTCACTGTCTTGAAACTTAAATTGGATGAGGCAAGTCAACAATCCAACAACCGACGAGTATACAGCATGCCATCCACCTACAGCTAGAGTGGATGAATCGAATTCTCTTGTCCTTGCAAGAATTAAAGATAAAAATATATTAGACTTATCACAAGGTTCAATTTGTATTGCTGTCAATGATCAAAATTTCTGCTAGATAAGGTTCCTAGAAGGGATCGCATTTCCATTTCTTCACCATAAAATTAGACTAAACATCAGTAACCAATTCAAATAAAAGCAAGCTTGGTTTTCAAAGAGCTAACCAAGTTGTACATAAATTAGTTAAGTTATTTTCCATTACATATGGATTTTGCAAATTGTAAGATTTTTTTTAAGACTAGCGTTGGGCTCTTTGGTTGCAACTTATATATCAACAAATAAGTCAAGCCCAAAATAAGTCGTCTTATTTGGCACACTTACGACTATTTAACTTTTGTAATTGTTAAAATAAATATACGATGTTTGGTAAACTTGTAAATTATTTGTCCTTTTTGGTAACCTTCCATTGGAAGTTGGTTTTTTTTTTTTTTTGAAACTGAAGAATTTAATTTTAATGTTTGTCTAGACTACACGATCCTAAAATTAATAATAATCATATCATCATATCATATATATATATTATTAAAAGTAGTGTTTGCTTTCAATTTTTCTCTCTCCTATGTGATACATCTCTCTTTTTTTCTTTTTTTATTAAAATGTCACATCAATATATCTTTTTACTAAAATTCTATCTAAAATTTAATATTTAAAAGACTTCGACTAAATCTAAATTACCCATGAACAAAACCTGATAGAATTATACATACTACAAGTAATTTACCGATTAATTTTATTATACTTTTTTCACTTTTTTGTTTATTATACTTTTTTCACTTTTTTTATAATTTAATATATAATATACAAAATTATTATATGATAACTATACTTTTATAATATGATAGAACTAAAATTATCAAAATACACAAATAATTTAACTAAAATAATATATATAAGTATTCAATTAACAATTTTATAGAACGATTGCGCCGATATTATCAAAATAAATAATTAAAATCATACTTTAATTTTAATTTTAAATTATTTCTTTTGTAACACACATTATACCATCAAATATTTTTTGAAAAAAAAAAATAGCATATGCATTGCACATGTCACCTACTAATATATATATATTATTAAAAGTAGTATTTACTCTAAATTTTTCTATCTCTCACGTGGCACATCTTTCATTTTTTCCTTTTTTTTATTATTAAAATGATACATCAATATATCATTTTATCAAAATTCTTTCTAAAATTTAATATTTAAAAAACTTCTAATTAATCTAAATTATCCATAAACAAAAACCTAATAGAATTATACATACTAAAAGTACTTTACCAATTAATTTTGATATAGTTTTTCATTTTTTAAAATGAAATATTAAAATTATTTCTTATTTTTATGTCTATCTTATTTATAATATTAATTATATTAAATTTCTTAAATAATTAGAATCACTTTTAATTTTATAACAATTATTTCTAATATCAAGTTATAATTTAATATCATATAAATTTATTATATATATTTATTTAAGTTACATTTTTGTAGCAAGAAAGGTTAAAATTATCAAATGAATGTTTCTTTTTTTGAGTTATAATTTAATATAATTTAAAATTATTACATATATTTATTTAATTTATATTTTTGTAGTACGATAGTGCTAAAATTATTAAAATATACACAAATAATTTATTTAAAATTATAAAGCCATTTGAATTTAGGCGTAATCATATCTAATTAATCGTATTGATCCTTTGGATTTCATCCTGTGTGGTGTCGTTGTAGGCTCTACAGGTGTCATCTTTCGTAGGCTTCACATGTCATTTGAGTATCTTAAATAACGTCGCTGAGATACGATGTTTTATTTATGCACTTCAACAGATCATATTGATCATTATAGGAAGTGATTACCTACAACATTCGTATCATAGGCTCTATACGTGTCATTGACTGATTGACCGTATTTGAAATCTTAACATAAATTTAGTTGAAATTTATGTGTCAATAATCACCAAATACAAAAATAAAAACCATCTGGTTACATTTCCAATCTAAGATCAAAACAAAATATGACTCTAGGGATTTGTAACTACAAAAGGTAGGTAAAGATGCTGCTACACTTGCTCAAGGCAACAAGGATTTCGCTCTGTCATCTGTAATAGGGTTCGGCATTGTACATGGAGTAAAACCCATCAACAGGTGAGATCTTATCATTATAGAAGTCCCAAACTAAAAGTTGTGTTGGGAAAGACTTATAGAGCAATCATATTCCTATAAGAGTTGGATACTTGTTAGGCAAGCCATATTCTACCATAAATAAAGGTGAGCCCTAAGGGTCTAGGTATGCAAATACGCAATTGAATATACAGTCAAAAAAAAATACGATTATATTCATGATGATAGTGCTAATTGGGCATCAGAGTGCCCATCCGACATAAGCCGGGTAGGGCACTAACGACATTGTATTTTAAAGATTCTTAGTGAACCGTTCATCTTTTTGTTGATTCATTCATCAGGGTACAATTTTTTCCCTTACACTTGGCACCATCTGTAGGAATCACAGGTTCAACAGAGAAGAGGACATACATCATTATCAGGAGTGTTAACAGGGTGATCATAAGCACTATAGTTGGTTGCTAAAATAAGCTATTTTGGTCATCAAAAGTATAATTTGGAAGGAAATAATTTCTACACAAAAACATCATGCATGTATTTTCTAGACATTAGAGAGGAAATGTGTTCCTAGTCTATTTTGTCATACCACTCAATTTCATAAACAAGAGCAATGCCACAATACAAGATTAACAAATTATGAAAGAGTTGCATAGTCACAATAATATTCTGAAATTCAAAATGGAATGTAATAACACATGCAGTGACCATTACTAAATGCAATCAACAAAGAACATACCTATACGATCCAGAAAGACGTGCACGCATGAAACTTCCATCAACCTCAACATTAAGCCCATTCAAATTAGCATGCCTATCCCACAAAAATAAAAATAAAGTCATAGAGCTCATCAAAATGAAGGCTAAAAGAGACGAAATGAATTCCTATATCTTCTTCAATCAAAACTACTTTAGCTTCATCAAAATTTCTATGCCGCTTCACATGCTGCAGGCTCAATTTATAAATTGCTCAAACATTATGGAAAACCATATTCAAATAATACAAGTTTCACTGTGTTTATATTGAAAAAGGAAGCCAAAATACTAGAGACAAAAAAGATATCAGCACTTACGGGCCAAAAGCACTTAATGTAGCTATAACTTTCATCTGGATAATTCCGACCTAGCTGTGAAAGGCTTATGTAACGAACAACCAATCCAAAATTGCCACATAAACAAAAAATGGGATCTATAATTTCTTTTTCTTTTTCTTTTTCACTCCAAATTGCCTCCTTTCTCTCGTTTTTTTTCCCCCTTTCCTCTGATCCAATAACAAAAACACGTCTTCCATTCCAACAAAAACTCAAGACAAATTCTTCCATTGATGTATACCACCATCGAATAAAAATAAAAATAAATAAATAAACTCAACGACACCACCAGACACTATTCACACAAAAAAAGAAGCAAAATGAAGGGGAATTCAAAATGAAAAACAAAGAGAGACAGGGGAGTGAAATCCAACCCATTGCGTTGTGCAACTTTCAACACAGAAAAGTCAATTCGAATCTAATCTCCTCCAAAAATAAAATCAAATATACAATTTTAAACTTGATCATAAAACCTATGCTTTGTGAGCAATCATCGTAGGTTTCATCTTGTCACTGCTAATTTTTCCATCATCATTGTACATCACCCATTGCTAGTGATGAACAATGATGATGGAAAAATTAGCGGTGACAAGATGAAATCTACGATGATTGCCTAGCATGAATATTGTCATCAGTGCTACTGTATCTCTTGGGGTCTACCTAGGGGCATCAAACGAGACAGTTCGGTGGGGGTTGGGAGGTCAAAGGAATGGAGACTCTGCTTTGTATGATAAAATAAAATGCTATCTATGTTTCTTGACGAACTGAAGACCCAGATATCGAAGTAGAAGGAACTTTAGAGAGAGAAAGTATAACATTATCTCCACACTTTTTGCTTCTGTGGCAGATTTACGTTGGTTGCCTGTTAAATAAGCCTGTCATGGCTCAGCAGTGTATAATTTAATCTTATACCATAAAAAGGATAAGAGTTATATTCCTCTCAACTATCCTTAATTTCACATGCCTGCTAACTTCACAATGAAACATCAACAATCCTGCATCCTTGTCAAAGATTCAAAGAACATGTGCTTTACCATTATATATATAGGGCAATGTCATTAAAAAATAAAATTTTCCAGAGAAACAATTACTACACAAAAGCATCATGTGTGCATTTCCAGGCATTAGGCAGGAAAAATGTTCCTAGACTATTTTGTCATACCACTCAATTTCATAAACAAGAGCAATGCCACAATACACGAAAATTAACAAATTACGAAACCACACTTGTAACAATATTCTGAAATTCAAAGAAGAATGTAATAACAAATACATTAAGCATTACTAAATGCAATCAATAGAGAAAATACCCATCTGATCTAGAAAGATATGCATCCCTGCAACTTGCATCAGCCACAGCTTCATGCTTTTTCAAATAATAATACCTATTCCAAACAAACAAAAAAAGAGTTCAGTGCTCATCAAGATGGAGGCTAAGAGAGAGCGAACAAAGTAAAATGAAAAAGCGGCTAAATGTTTGCATCGACAAGTAAAACTACAACAAAATGAATTTCATACAGCTTCAAGCAAAATTACTTTAGGTTCATCAAAATTTCTTACCTGATTCACCTGTTGTAGGCTAGATTGATGAAGTACTCAAACCTTATGGAAATCAACATTCAACTAATTCAAGCTTCACTGTGTTTATCATGAAAAAGAAAGCCAAAATACGAGAGACAAAAAAGATACCAACACTTACAAGCAAAAAGCACCTAATGTAACCATTAACTTTCATCTGGATAATTTCCTAAATATGATAGAGATATATTCTTTTCAACTACCCTTAGCTTTCACGTGCCTGCTAACTCCACAACAAAACTTCAAAGATCTAATACCCTAGCCAATGATTCGAAGAAGAATGTGGGTTTATCAATATATATATATATATAGGGCATTTTTGTCATTAGAAAGGAATATTTTGGAGGAAAACAATTTCTGCATAAAAGCATCATGTGTTTATTTCCACACATTAGGCAAGAAATGTGTTTGTAGTCTATTTTGTCATACTGCTCAATTTCAAAAACAAGAGCAATGTCACAAAACAAGAATATTAACAAATTACGAAAATGTTGCACACTCACCAAAATATTCTTAAATTCAAAATGAAACAAAATAAGTACATTAATCACTACTAGATGTAATCAATAGAGAACATACTCATCTGATCTAGAAAGATATGCATCAGTGAAACTTGCATTAGTCTCATCATAATGCTCGTTCAAATAATCACACGTCACAAAAAAAAAAAAAAAAACAAAACAAAAAACAAAACAAAAATATATATATATATATATATATATTTCAATGCTCAACGAGATACAGGCTAAGAGATAGTGAGCAAAGTACAATGAAAAGGAGGTCAAATATTTGCAAAGCCATGGTTGTTAGAATCATGCGATTCATGATTCAAATCGTGTTGTTGAATCGGAAATTGAGTGAATCGTATGATTCAATTTATAATTCATACTATGATTCATTACAATTCACTGCGATTCAGTTGTATTTCTATTTTTGTTCACATAACGCATGAAATAAGGTCGTTTTAGCCAAACTATGAAGCTATGTAGAAAAGATTAATTAGTTATATTGATATACGTGATTTTATATGTACATACATAATTTCATTTATTGATAATTTACATATTGTAATTTAGATATATTGACAACTTAAGTTATATAGAATTATATATCCTATTAAATCAAATGAATCTTACGATTCACTATTTTAACAAAACGATTCATGATTCGATTCGTGATTTGACAACAATGAGTAAAACTACAACGAAATGAATTCCATATATCTTCTTCAAGCAAAACTACTTTAGGTTCATCAAAATTTCTAAGCAGCTAGCCTCGCATGTTGTAGGCTTGATTGATAAAGTCCTCAAACCTAATGAGAAACAAGATTCAAATAATTCAAGTTTCACTATGATTATCCTGAAAAACGAGGTGAAAATACTAGACATAAATGATACCAACACATACAGGCTAAAAGCACTTAATCTACCTATTAATTTTTATTTGGAAAATTTCATGAATAAGAGTAGAGTTAAATTCCTTTCAACTATCGTTGACTTTCACATGCCTGCTAACTCCACAACCAAACTTCAAAGATCTAGTACCCTTGTTAATGTTCAAATAATGTGTGCTTATCAAAATATATAGGACATTTTTTTCATTAGAAAGGAATATTTTGGTGGCAAATAATTTCTTCATAAAAGCATCATGTGTGTATTTCCAAACATTGGGCAAGAAACGTGCTCCTAGACTATTTTGTCATCCTGCTCAATTTCATAATTAAGAGTAATGCCACTATACAAAAATATTAACAAATAACAAAAATGTTGCACACTGATAACAATATTCAGAAATTCGAAATGGAATGTAATAACAAATACATTAATCATTACTAAATGCAATCAATAGAGAACATAATCATCTGATCTAGAAAAATATGCTTCCCTGAAACTTGCATCAGCCTCAACTTCATGCTTGTTCAAATAATAAGACCTACTCCAAAAGCAAAAACAATAAAAAGTCTCGGTGCTCATCAAGATGGAGGCTAAGAGAGAGTGAACACAGTAAAATGAAAAGGAGGTTGAATGAATGCATTGACAAGTAAAACTACAACAAAATGAATTCATTATATCTTCTTCAAGCAAAATTGCTTTAGGTTCATGAAAATTTCTTAGCAACTTCACATGTTGTAGGATCAATTGATAAAATACACAAATAATTCAAGTTTTACTGTGTTTATCATGAAAAAGGAGGCCAAAATACTAGAGACAAAAAAGATACCACCGCTTACAGGCCAGTAGCACTTAATGTAGCCATTAACTTTCATCTGGATAATTTCCCAAATATGAGCTATGTGTTTTCAACTAGCCTTACATTTCACAAGCCTTTTAACTCCACAACAAAACTTCAAAGATCCAGTACCCTTGTCAATGATCCAAATAAAAATTTAGGCTTATCAATATATTAGGGCATTTTTGTTATTAGAAATGAATATTTTGGAGAACAACAATTTCTATATAAAAGCATCATATGTTTATTTCCACACATTAGGTATGAAATGTGTTCATAGTCTATTCTGTCATACTACTCAATTTCAAAAACAAGAGCAATGCCCCACAATACATGAATATTAACAAATTATGAAAATGTCGCACACTCATTAAATTATTGTGAAATTCAAAATGGAATGTAATAACAAAGACATTAATCAATACTAAATACAATGAACAGAGAACATACACATTTGATCCACAAAGATATGTATCCGTCAAACTTGCATTAGTCTCATCATAAAGCTCGTTCAAATAATCACACCTATCCAAAAATAAATAAATAAATAATTAAATAAATACGAATAATAATATAAAAAATAAGACTCAGTTCTCAACAATATAGAGGCTAAGAGAGACGGTGAACAAAGTATAATGAAAAGGAGGTCAAATGTTTGCATTGACAAGTAAATAAAAGTACAACGAAATGAATTCCATATATCTTCCTCAAGCAAAACTACTTCAGGTGCATCAAAATTTCAGAGCAAATTCACATGTTGTAGGCACGATTGATAAAGTACTAAAACCTAACGAAAAACAAGATTCAAATAATTCAATTTCACTGTGTTTATCTGGAAAAAGAGGTCAAAAAATACAAGATATAAATGATAGCAACACATGCAGCCTAAAAGGACTTGATGTACCTATTAACTTTTATCTAGATGATTTCATGAATAAGATTAGAGTTAAATTCCTTTCAATGGTCCTTAACTTTCACATGACTGCTAACTCCACAACAAAACTTCAAAGATCTAGTATACTTGTTAATGTTCACAAAATGCATGCTTATCATTATATATTTTTGTCATTAGAAAGGAATATTTCGGAGGAAAACAATTTCTACATAAAAGCTTCATGTGTGTGTTTCCAAAAATTAAGCAAGAAACATGTTCCTGGTCTATTTTATTATACTGCTCAATTTCATAAACAAGCGCAATGCCACAATAGGGAAATATTAACAAATTACGAAAATGTTGCAAACTCGAAACAATATTTTGAAATTCGAAATGAAATGTAAAAACAAATACATTAATCATTACTGAACGCAATCAATAGAGAACATACTCATCTGATCCAGCAGGATATGCATCCATGAATCTTGCATTAGCCTCAACATCATGATTGTTCAAAAAATCACCCCTATCCCCCAAAAAATAAATCTCAGTGCTCTTGAAGATGGTCCCAAAGAGATAGCAAACAAAGTAAAATAAAAAGGAGATCGAATGTTTGCAATGACAAGTAAAACAACAACAAATTAATTCCATGTATCTTCTTCAAGAAAAACTACATTAGGTGCATCAAAATTTCTAGGGTATATTGCACTTTACCCCCTTATGGTTTGACACATGTGCGGAGAAACCCCTTGTCATTTGGAAATAACCACACAACCCCCATGTGGTTTGTGGGCCAAAATGCACAATCGTTTGGCAACCCATAACAATTTTAGCCAAAAAACCAAAGAACTACACAAAAAAACCAAAGATTCTCTTTTCTCTCTACTTGTTTGCACTCTTTTGCATAAAAAGTCATCCCAAACATATTAGTTTTTTTTATCTCATATTTTATACAAAAAAATCAAAAAGTTACTAAAACAGAACAAGAGATAACCGAACATAGAGATTGACTTTATATCCTCATCTTCCTCCTCTCTTCTATTCTCAATTAAACCTATATATATATATATATTCTTTCTTCCATCCATGGCTGCCAACTGTAACAAATTCCCTTCCAAATTCTACAAGCAACCCAAGCGACACACACACGACTCCACATCAAAAAAATCAATCACCCATTCTCACCATTAACTAAGAGTAAAATATTTTTGTACCAATTTTCATTTCTTCAAACAGACTGCTTCAACACACTGTCTCCACATACCCAAACACACTACTTCCAACAACATTCTATTTATCTATTAAATATATATTTTTATGTATATATATATATATCGAGAGAGAGAGAGAGAGTTTGGGATATAAGAAGTGTCACATTTGAAAAATTAATATTAAAGCAAATATTGCAGAAATACTGTCGTTGATGATGCTGCTGTGTGTGATAATGGTGCTTAATATGCTCAATTACTCTTATCAAATATATGGTCTGTGTTGATCAATCTATGTTGTTGGTTGGGCATTAAAAATTCATGAATCCCGACTTGATTTGGAGGGCGGTGGCTGCGAGACTGATTGGAAGGGTTGACTAGGTTGCTATGGGAGGTGGGAGGCGGTTCAGGTATGGCATGTTAGGGGAGGGGCTGCAAAGGTGCAATGGATGTGGGTGCTGGTTTGAGGGGAGGAGAGAGACGGGTAAGGGTGGTCACCAGTGGCAGTCATGGGGGAAGCTGCGGTAGCCACAACAATTGAGGTTGATTAGGCGGAATCGAAAAATGAAAAGAAGAAGGAAGGGAGAGAGGAGGTGCTAATGGTTGGGGAAGAAAGGTATAGAGAAAGAAACAATAAAAAATATACATTTTCTGTAAATTTGAAGATGTAGAAAGGATATTTTTGTCCTAAAATTTCACTCACTCTCTACAAAGGCGTGTGGCTCTCACAGCCTATCATCTTAGACGGAAGAGTTAACGGTGCATTTTTGCCTACAAATCACATGAGATTATGTGGTCATTTCCAAATGACAAGGGGGGAAATCCACACGTGGGCTCAACCATAAAGCGGTAAAGTGAAATTTGCCCAAATTTCTAAGCAGCCTCACATGTTTTAGACTCCATTGATAAAGTACTCAAAAACCTTATGCAAAACAAGATTCAAATAATTTTCACTGTTTTTATCCTAAAAAAAGAGGCCGATACTCTAGAGACAAAAAAGATACCAATAGAGCACATAATGTAGCTATTAACTCATCAAGCCAATTCCCTAAATATGATAGAGTTATATTCCCTTTAACTATTCTTAACTTTCACATGCCAGCTAACCTTCACAACAAAACTTCAACGATACAACACCCCTGTCAATGATTTAAAGAAGTGTAGCTTATCATTATATGTCGGGCATTTGGTTATTTAGAAAGAAATATTTTCGAGGGAAACAATTTCTACACAAGCATCATGGTGGATTTCCAAACATTAGGGACGAAATGTGTTCCTACTCTATTTTGTCATACAACTCAATTTTATAAACAAGAGCATTGGCACAATAAAAGAATGATAACAAGATACAAAAACATTGCACAATCATAACAATATTTTGAAAATTCGAAATGGAATGTAATAGCAAATACAATGACAATGACTAAATGCAATCAACAGAGAACATACTCATTCGATCCACAAAGATATGTATCTGTCAAACTTGCATTAGTCTCATCATAATGCTCGTTCAAATAATCACACCTATCCAACAAAAAATAAATAAATAAATAAATAAGAATAAGAATAAGAATAATAATAATATAAAAAAATAAGTCTCAATTCTCAACAATATAGAGACTAAGAGAGACGGTGAACAAAGTATAATGAAAAGGAGGTCAAATGTTTGCATTGACAAGTAAATAAAAGTACAACGAAATGAATTCCATATATCTTCCTCGAGCAAAACTACTTCAGGTTCATCAAAATTTCAGAGCAAATCCACATGTTGTAGGCACGATTGATAAAGTACTAAAACCTAACGAAAAACAAGATTCAAATAATTCAATTTCACTGTGTTTATCAGGAAAAAGAGGTCAAAAAATACAAGATATAAATGATAGCAACACATGCAGCCTAAAAGGACTTAATGTACCTATTAACTTTTATCTAGATGATTTCATGAATAAGATTAGAGTTAAATTCCTTTCAATGGTCCTTAACGTACACATTACTGCTAACTCCACAACAAAACTTCAAAGATCTAGTATACTTGTTAATGTTCACAGAATGCATGCTTATCATTATATATTTTTGTCATTAGAAAGGAATATTTCGGAGGAAAACAATTTCTACATAAAAGCTTCATGTGTGTGTTTCCAAAAATTAAGCAAGAAACATGTTCCTGGTCTATTTTATTATACTGCTCAATTTCATAAACAAGAGCAATGCCACAATAGTGAAATATTAACAAATTACAAAAATGTTGCAAACTCGAAACAATATTTTGAAATTCAAAATGAAATGTAATAACAAATACATTAATCATCATTGAACGCAATCAATAGAGAACATACTCATCTGATCCAGCAGGATATGCATCCATGAATCTTGCATTAGCCTCAACATCATGATTGTTCAAATAATCACCCCTATCCCCAAAAAAATAAATCTCAGTGCTCTTGAAGATGGTGCCAAAGAGATAGCAAACAAAGTAAAATAAAAAGGAGATCAATGTTAATTCTATGTATCTTCTTCAAGAAAAACTACATTAGGTTCATCAAAATTTCTAGGGTAAATTTCACTTTACCCTTTTATGGTTTGACCCATGTGCGGAGAAACCCCTTGTCATTTGGAAATAACCACACAACCCCCATGTGGTTTGTGGGCCAAAACACACAATCGTTTGGCAACCCACAACAATTTTAGCCTAAAGGCCAAAAAGTCACTAAAAAGCCAAAAAACCAAAGAACTATACAAAAAAATTAAAGATTCTCTTTTCTCTCTACTTGTTTGCACTCTTTTGCATAAAAAGTCATCACAAACATATTAGTTTTTTTTATCTCATATTTTATACAAAAAATCAAAAAGTTACTAAAACAAAACAAGAGGTAACCGAACATAGAGATTGACTTTATATACTCATCTTCTTACTCTCTTCTATTCTCAATTAAACCTATATATATATATTCTTTCCTCCATCCATGGCTGCCAACTGTAACAAATTCCCTTACAAATTCTGCAAGCAACCCAAGCAGCACACACACGACTCCACATCAAAAAAATCAATCACCCATTCTCGCACCATTAATTAAGAGTAAAATATTTTTGTACCAATTTTCATTTCTTCAAACAGACTGCTTCAACACGCTGTCTCCACTTACCCAAACACACTACTTCCAACAACATTCTCTTTATCTATTAAATATATATTTTTATGTATATATATATATAGAGAGAGAGAGAGAGAGAGTTTGGGATCAAAGAAGTGTTACATTTGAACAATTAATATTAAAGCAAACATTGCAGAAATACTGTCGTTGATGATGCTCCTATGTGTGCTTAATATGCTCAATTACTCTTATTGAATATATGGTCAGTGTTGGTCAATCTATGTTGTTGGTTGGGCATTAAAAAATCACGAATCCTGACTTGATTTGGAGGGCGGTGGCTACAAGATTGATTGGAAGGGTTAACTAGGTTGCGATGGGAGGTGGGAGGGGGTTCAAGGATGGCGTGCTAGGGGAGGGGCTGCAACGGTGCGATGGATGTGGGTGGTGGTTTGAGGGGAGGAGAGAGAAGGGTAAGGGTGGTCACCAGTGGCAATCATAGGGGAAGCTGCGGTAGACACAACAATGGAGGTTGATTAGGCGATTCAAAAAATGAAAAGAAAGAAGAGAGGAGGTGCTAATGGTTGGGGAAGAAAGGTATAGAGAAAGAAACAATAAAAAATATGAAAATAAAAAAATGGCATTTTTTGTAGATTTGAAGATGTTGAAATGATATTTTCGTCTTAAAATTTAACTCGCTCTCTACAAAGGGGTGTGGCTCTCACAGCCTATCATCTTAGACGAAAAAGTTAAAAGTGCATTTTAGTCTACAAACCACATAGGATTATGTGGTCATTTCCAAATGACAAGTGGGGAAATCCACACATGGGGAATCTTGCATTAGCCTCAACATCATGATTGTTCAAATAATCACCCCTATCCCCAAAAAAATAAATCTCAGTGCTCTTGAAGATGGTGCCAAAGAGAGAGCAAACAAAGTAAAATAAAAAGGAGATCGAATGTTTGCAATGACAAGTAAAACAACAACAAATTAATTCCATGTATCTTCTTCAAGAAAAACTACATTCGGTGCATCAAAATTTCTAGGGGATATTGCACTTTACCCCCTTATGGTTTGACCCATGTGCAGAGAAACCCCTTGTCATTTGGAAATAACCACACAACCCCCATGTGGTTTGTGGGCCAAAACACACAATCGTTTGGCAACCCACAACAATTTTAGCCTAAAAGCCAAAAAGTCACTAAAAAGCCAAAAAACCAAAGAACTATACAAAAAAATTAAAGATTCTCTTTTCTCTCTACTTGTTTGCACTCTTTTGCATAAAAAGTCATCACAAACATATTAGTTTTTTTTATCTCATATTTTATACAAAAAATCAAAAAGTTACTAAAACAGAACAAGAGGTAACCGAACATAGAGATTGACTTTATATACTCATCTTCTTACTCTCTTCTATTCTCAATTAAACCTATATATATATATATATATATTCTTTCTTCCATCCATAGCTGCCAACTGTAACAAATTACCTTCCAAATTCTGCAAGCAACCCAAGCAGCACACACACGACTCCACATCAAAAAAATCAATCACCCATTCTCACCATTAATTAAGAGTAAAATATTTTTGTACCAATTTTCATTTCTTCAAACAGACTGCTTCAACACACTGTCTCCACATACCCAAACACACTACTTCCAACAACATTCTATTTATCTATTAAATATATATTTTTATGTATATATATATATAGAGAGAGAGAGAGAGAGAGTTTGGGATCAAAGAAGTGTTACATTTGAACAATTAATATTAAAGCAAACATAGCAGAAATACTGTCGTTGATGATGCTGCTATGTGTGATGATGGTGCTTAATATGCTCAATTACTCTTATCAAATATATTGTCAGTGTTCGTCAATCTATGTTGTTGGTTGGGCATTAAAAAATCATGAATCCTGACTTGATTTGGAGGGCAGTGGCTGCGAGACTAAGTGGAAGGGTTAACTAGGTTGCTATGGGAGGTGGGAGGGGGTTCAAGGATGGCGTGCTAGGGGAGGGGCTGCAAAGGTGCGATGGATGTGGGTGGTGGTTTGAGGGGAGGAGAGAGAGGAGGGGTAAGGGTGGTCACCAGTGGCAGTCATAGGGGAAGCTGCGGTAACCAGAACAATGGAGGTTGATTAGGTGGAGTCAAAAAATGAAAAGAAAAAGAGAGGGAGGGAGGAGGTGCTAATAGTTGGGGAAGAAAGGTATAGAGAAAGAAACAATAAAAAATGTAAAAAGAAAAAATGGCATTTTTTTTTTGTGTGTAGATTTGAAGATGTAGGAAGGATATTTTCGTCTCAAAATTTGACTCAGTCTCCACAAAGGAGTGTGGCTCTCACAGCCTATCATCTGAGACAAAAAAGTTAACGGTGCATTATAGTCTACAAACCACATGGGATTATGTGGTCATTTCCAAATAAGAATGGGGAAAAATCCACACATAAGCTAAACCATAAAGGCATAAAGTGAATTTTGACCAAATTTCTATGCAGCCTCACATGTTTTAGCCTTCATTGATAAAGTACTCAAAAACCTTATGGAAAACAAGATTCAAATAATTTTCACTATGTTTATCCTGAAAAAAGAAAGGCCAATATTCTAGAGACAGAAAAGATAGAATAAAGATTAATCAATTTATCAATTTATCAATTAATCAATTTATTGTGTTGTGATTAATGTGTTGTGATTAAAAAAATAGAAAATTGGTTGATTAATTAATTGATAAATTGATTCATAAGTTAATCAATTTATTAATGTGATGAATTAATAAATTGGTCAAAGTTTTTCTTGAAAAAATAATGTAACATAGGAATGAATGTAATGGAATGTAATGTACATTAATTAATTAATTCATCATTAATTAAAAAAATAGAAAATTGATTAATTAATTAGAAAAGATTAATGTGTTGTGATTAAAAAAATAGAAAATTGATTAATTAATTAGAAAAGATTAATGTGTTGTGATTAAAAAAATAGAAAATTGATTAATTAATTAGAAAAGATTAATGTGTTGTGATTAAAAAAATAGAAAATTGATTAATTAATTAGAAAAGATTAATGTGTTGTGATTAAAAAAATAGAAAATTGATTAATTAATTAGAAAAGATTAATGTGTTGTGATTAAAAAAATAGAAAATTGATTAATTAATTAGAAAAGATTAATGTGTTGTGATTAAAAAAATAGAAAATTGATTAATTAATTAGAAAAGATTAATGTGTTGTGATTAAAAAAATAGAAAATTGATTAATTAATTAGAAAAGATTAATGTGTTGTGATTAAAAAAATAGAAAATTGATTAATTAATTAGAAAAGATTAATGTGTTGTGATTAAAAAAATAGAAAATTGATTAATTAATTAGAAAAGATTAATGTGTTGTGATTAAAAAAATAGAAAATTGATTAATTAATTAGAAAAGATTAATGTGTTGTGATTAAAAAAATAGAAAATTGATTAATTAATTAGAAAAGATTAATGTGTTGTGATTAAAAAAATAGAAAATTGATTAATTAATTAGAAAAGATTAATGTGTTGTGATTAAAAAAATAGAAAATTGATTAATTAATTAGAAAAGATTAATGTGTTGTGATTAAAAAAATAGAAAATTGATTAATTAATTAGAAAAGATTAATGTGTTGTGATTAAAAAAATAGAAAATTGATTAATTAATTAGAAAAGATTAATGTGTTGTGATTAAAAAAATAGAAAATTGATTAATTAATTAGAAAAGATTAATGTGTTGTGATTAAAAAAATAGAAAATTGATTAATTAATTAGAAAAGATTAATGTGTTGTGATTAAAAAAATAGAAAATTGATTAATTAATTAGAAAAGATTAATGTGTTGTGATTAAAAAAATAGAAAATTGATTAATTAATTAGAAAAGATTAATGTGTTGTGATTAAAAAAATAGAAAATTGATTAATTAATTAGAAAAGATTAATGTGTTGTGATTAAAAAAATAGAAAATTGATTAATTAATTAGAAAAGATTAATGTGTTGTGATTAAAAAAATAGAAAATTGATTAATTAATTAGAAAAGATTAATGTGTTGTGATTAAAAAAATAGAAAATTGATTAATTAATTAGAAAAGATTAATGTGTTGTGATTAAAAAAATAGAAAATTGATTAATTAATTAGAAAAGATTAATGTGTTGTGATTAAAAAAATAGAAAATTGATTCATACATTACATACCTCTATAATTCTCTCTCTGTGTTCTGTATTCTCTTTTCAACTCACCACACTGACCCCCTCCCATTCACTAACCATTTATAGATGAAATGGAGGGCCAAAGTTTTCAACAAGCCACCGACAACATTTATGGCAACTACCAAGCATTTATGGCAGCCATCCTACCATGAGTAGCTCGACTGAAAATGTCTAACTTCTTCAATTTTTTCTTCAATCAACAGCCATCAATCAGCAGCCATCGTTGAAAATCTGAGCCAATCTTCAACAAATCTCCACCTTGGCGAGGATTCTCTATCCAATATAGTGATCGATCAACATTGCCATGCACCCAAAGGTGCTCAGTTTCGAGAGATGTTGACCAAGTCCAAATAGTGTTGGAACTTGATCCCAAAAACCACTTTTGTGAGCCTATCGGCCGAATTATTTGTAGTGCTAATCTTTTGAAGCAGAATATCCCTTTCATTCATAATTTCTCGGACTTTTATGGATCAAATTATTGTTGAGTGATCTCGGTATTGCTCAGACGGACTCCATGCGGTTATACTGTGATAATAAGGCCGCCATCAACATTGCTCACAATCCCGTTCAACATGACAGGACAAAACATGTTGAGATTGATCGCCACTTCATTAAGGAGAAACTCACTAGTGGTACCATTTGTACTCCTTTTGTTCAGTCTGGTGAACAACTTGCTGACATTCTCACCAAGGGAATTGGGAATAAACCGTTTCATGACATATTAGGCAAGCTGGGCATGAGAGATATCTTCGCACCAGCTTGAGGGGGAGTGTTGGCATATTATAATCACCGAAAGTCTCTTAGTATTTTATTAGCCGAAAGGCACTAGGGTCTGTAATCATTGTTATGCCCTCAGGGATCATCTTGTAATTGTCTTGTTTGTAAACCCTAATCTTCATTTATAAATAAGGGGTGATATCTCATCATACCCTAAGCTGATTATTCAAGCTTCAGGAGGCGGTTGAGGTATGGCATGTTAGGGGAGGGGCTGCAAAGGTGCAATGGATGTGGGTGCTGGTTTGAGGGGAGGAGAGAGACGGGTAAGGGTGGTCACCAGTGGCAGTCATGGGGGAAACTGCGGTAGCCACAACAATTGAGGTTGATTAGGCGGAATCGAAAAATGAAAAGAAGAAGGAAGGGAGAGAGGAGGTGCTAATGGTTGGGGAAGAAAGGTATAGAGAAAGAAACAATAAAAAATATACATTTTCTGTAAATTTGAAGATGTAGAAAGGATATTTTTGTCCTAAAATTTCACTCACTCTCTACAAAGGCGTGTGGCTCTCACAGCCTATCATCTTAGACGGAAGAGTTAAGGGTGCATTTTTGTCTACAAATCACATGAGATTATGTGGTCATTTCCAAATGACAAGGGGGGAAATCCACACATGGGCTCAACCATAAAGCGGTAAAGTGAAATTTGCCCAAATTTCTAAGCAGCCTCACATGTTTTAGACTCCATTGATAAAGTACTCAAAAACCTTATGCAAAACAAGATTCAAATAATTTTCACTGTTTTTATCCTAAAAAAAGAGGCCGATACTCTAGAGACAAAAAAGATACCAATAGAGCACATAATGTAGCTATTAACTCATCAAGCCAATTCCCTAAATATGATAGAGTTATATTCCCTTTAACTATTCTTAACTTTCACATGCCAGCTAACCTTCACAACAAAACTTCAACGATACAACACCCCTGTCAATGATTTAAAGAAGTGTAGCTTATCATTATATGTCGGGCATTTTGTTATTTAGAAAGAAATATTTTCGAGGGAAACAATTTCTACACAAGCATCATGGTGGATTTCCAAACATTAGGGACGAAATGTGTTCCTACTCTATTTTGTCATACAACTCAATTTTATAAACAAGAGCATTGGCACAATAAAAGAATGATAACAAGATACAAAAACATTGCACAATCATAACAATATTTTGAAAATTCGAAATGGAATGTAATAGCAAATACAATGACAATGACTAAATGCAATCAACAGAGAACATACTCATTCGATCCACAAAGATATGTATCTGTCAAACTTGCATTAGTCTCATCATAATGCTCGTTCAAATAATCACACCTATCCAACAAAAAATAAATAAATAAATAAATAAGAATAAGAATAATAATAATATAAAAAAATAAGTCTCAATTCTCAACAATATAGAGACTAAGAGAGACAGTGAACAAAGTATAATGAAAAGGAGGTCAAATGTTTGCATTGACAAGTAAATAAAAGTACAACGAAATGAATTCCATATATCTTCCTTGAGCAAAACTATTTCAGGTTCATCAAAATTTCAGAGCAAATTCACATGTTGTAGGCACGATTGATAAAGTACTAAAACCTAATGAAAAACAAGATTCAAATAATTCAATTTCACTGTGTTTATCAGGAAAAAGAGGTCAAAAAATACAAGATATAAATGATAGCAACACATGCAGCCTAAAAGGACTTAATGTACCTATTAACTTTTATCTAGATGATTTCATGAATAAGATTAGAGTTAAATTCCTTTCAATGGTCCTTAACTTACACATGACTGCTAACTCCGCAACAAAACTTCAAAGATCTAGTATACTTGTTAATGTTCACAAAATGCATGCTTATCATTATATATTTTTGTCATTAGAAAGGAATATTTCGGAGGAAAACAATTTCTACATAAAAGCTTCATGTGTGTGTTTCCAAAAATTAAGCAAGAAACATGTTCCTGGTCTATTTTATTATACTGCTCAATTTCATAAACAAGAGCAATGCCACAATAGTAAAATATTAACAAATTACGAAAATGTTGCAAACTTGAAACAATATTTTGAAATTTGAAATGAAATGTAATAACAAATACATTAATCATTACTAAACGCAATCATTAGAGAACATACTCATCTGATCCAGCAGGATATGCATCCATGAATCTTGCATTAGCCTCAACATCATGATTGTTCAAATAATCACCTCTATCCCCAAAAAAATAAATCTCAGTGCTCTTGAAGATGGAGGCAAAGAGATAGCAAACAAAGTAAAATAAAAAGGAGATCGTATGTTTGCAATGACAAGTAAAACAACAACAAATTAATTCCATGTATCTTCTTCAATAAAAACTACATTAGGTGCATCAAAATTTCTAGGGTATATTGCACTTTACCCCCTTATGGTTTGACCCATGTGCAGAGAAACTATTTGTCATTTGGAAATAACCACACAACCCCCATGTGGTTTGTGGGCCAAAACACACAATCGTTTGGCAACCCACAACAATTTTAGCCTAAAAGCCAAAAAGTCACTAAAAAGCCAAAAAACCAAAGAACTAAACAAAAAAATTAAAGATTCTCTTTTCTCTCTACTTGTTTGCACTCTTTTGCATAAAAAGTCATCACAAACATATTAGTTTTTTTATCTCATATTTTATACAAAAAATCAAAAAGTTACTAAAACAGAACAAGAGGTAACCGAACATAGAGATTGACTTTATATACTCATCTTCTTACTCTCTTCTATTCTCAATTAAACCTATATATATATATATTCTTTCTTCCATCCATAGCTGCCAACTGTAACAAATTCCCTTCCAAATTCTGCAAGCAACCCAAGCAGCACACACACGACTCCACATCAAAAAAATCAATCACCCATTCTCACCATTAATTAAGAGTAAAATATTTTTGTACTGTGATAATAAGGCCGCCATCAACATTGCTCACAATCCCGTTCAACATGACAGGACAAAACATGTTGAGATTGATCGCCACTTCATTAAGGAGAAACTCACTAGTGGTACCATTTGTACTCCTTTTGTTCAGTCTGGTGAACAACTTGCTGACATTCTCACCAAGGGAATTGGGAATAAACCGTTTCATGACATATTAGGCAAGCTGGGCATGAGAGATATCTTCGCACCAGCTTGAGGGGGAGTGTTGGCATATTATAATCACCGAAAGTCTCTTAGTATTTTATTAGCCGAAAGGCACTAGGGTCTGTAATCATTGTTATGCCCTCAGGGATCATCTTGTAATTGTCTTGTTTGTAAACCCTAATCTTCATTTATAAATAAGGGGTGATATCTCATCATACCCTAAGCTGATTATTCAAGCTTCAGGAGGCGGTTGAGGTATGGCATGTTAGGGGAGGGGCTGCAAAGGTGCAATGGATGTGGGTGCTGGTTTGAGGGGAGGAGAGAGACGGGTAAGGGTGGTCACCAGTGGCAGTCATGGGGGAAGCTGCGGTAGCCACAACAATTGAGGTTGATTAGGCGGAATCGAAAAATGAAAAGAAGAAGGAAGGGAGAGAGGAGGTGCTAATGGTTGGGGAAGAAAGGTATAGAGAAAGAAACAATAAAAAATATGAAAATAAAAAAATGGCATTTTTTGTAGATTTGAAGATGTTGAAATGATATTTTCGTCTTAAAATTTGACTCACTCTCTACAAAGGGGTGTGGCTCTCACAGCCTATCATGTTAGACGAAAAAGTTAACAGTGCATTTTAGTCTACAAACCACATAGGACTATGTGGTCATTTCCAAATGACAAGTGGGGAAATCCACACATGGGCTAAGCCATAAAGGGGTAAGGTGAAATTTGCGAAAATTTCTAAGCAGCCTCACATGTTTTAGACTCCATTGATAAAGTACTTAAAAACCTTATGGAAAACAAGATTCAAATAATTTTCACTGTGTTTATCCTGAACAAAGAGGCCGATATTCTAGAGACAAAAAAGATACCAATAGGGCACATAATGTAGCTATTAACTCATCAAGCCAATTCCCTAAATATGATAAGAGTTATATTCCCTTTAACTATTCTTAACTTTCACGTGCAAGCTAACCTTCACAACAAAACTTCAACGATACAGCACCCTTGTGAATGATTTAAAGATGTGTAGCTTATCATTATATGTCGGGCATTTTGTTATTTAGAAAGAAATATTTTCGAGGGAAACAATTTCCACACAAGAATCATGGTGGATTTCCAAACATTAGGGACGAAATGTGTTCCTACTCTATTTTGTCATACAACTCAATTATATAAACAAGAGCATTGGCACAATAAAAGAATGATAACAAGTTACAAAAACATTGCACAATCATAACAATATTTCGAAAATTCGAAATGGAATGTAATAGCAAATACAATGACCATTACTAAATGCAATCAACAGAGAACATACTCATTTGATCCACAAAGATATGTATCCGTCAAACTTGCATTAGTCTCGTCATACTGCTCGTTCAAATAATCACACCTATCCACAAAAAAATTAAAAATAATAATAAGAATAATAATAATAATAATATAAAAAAATAAGTCTCAATTCTCAACAGGATAGAGGGTAAGAGACAGTGAACAAAGTATAATGAAAAGGAGGTTGAATGTTTGCATTGACAAGTAAAAGTACAACGAAATGAATTCCATATATCTTCCTCAAGCAAAACTACTTTAGGTTCATCAAAATTTCTGAGCAACTTCACGTGTTGTGGGCATGATTGATAAAGTACTCAAACCTAATGAAAAACAAGATTCAAATAATTCAATTTCACTGTGTTTATCCTGAAAACAAGGTCAAAATACTAGACATAAATGATACCAACACTTGCAGCCTAAAAGGACTTAATGTACCTATTAACTTTTATCTAGATGATTTCATGAATAAGATTAGAGTTAAATTCCTTTCAATGGTCCTTAACTTTCACATGCCTAACTCCACAACAAAACTTCAAAGATCTGTGGTGTGTTTGGTTTTGTTTTGGGAGATAAATTTTCAAAAAAAAATTTTGGGGAGTGTTTACAATTTTTTTTTGATTTGTCTAGTTGTATATTTTGGAAATAGTTTTGGAGTGTAGGAGTTTGGGATGATTTGATATTTTGTCGTAGTTGAGTAGATGTGTGTGAGAGAAAAAGTGATTGAGAAGGAGAAAGGACAGAGAAAAAGTGATTGATTAATGTGTAAGAGAGAAAGTAATTTTGAAAAAAAAAATTCAAAATCACTAAACCAAACAAAATTTTAAAAAAAATTCTCCAAAATTACTCTCTCAAAAGCAAACCAAACAAGGCCCTAGTATCATTGTTAATGTTCAAAGAATGCATGCTTATCATTATATATTTTTGTCATTAGAAAGGAATATTTCGGAGGAAAAAAATTTCTACATAAAAGCTTCATGTGTGTGTTTCCAAAAATAATAACAAATTACAAAAATGTTGCAAACTCAAAACAATATTTTGAAATTCGAAATGAAATGTAATAACCAATACATTAATCATTACTGAACACAATCAATAGAGAACATACTCATCTGATCCAGCAGGATATGCATCCATGAATCTTGCATTAGCCTCAACATCATGATTGTTCAAATAATCACCCCTATCCCCAAAAAAATAAATCTCAGTGCTCTTGAAGATGGTGCCAAAGAGAGAGCAAACAAAGTAAAATAAAAAGGAGATCGAATGTTTGCAATGACAAGTAAAACAACAACAAATTAATTCCATGTATCTTCTTCAAGAAAAACTACATTCGGTGCATCAAAATTTCTAGGGGATATTGCACTTTACCCCCTTATGGTTTGACCCATGTGCAGAGAAACCCCTTGTCATTTGGAAATAACCACACAACCCCCATGTGGTTTGTGGGCCAAAACGCACAATCGTTTGGCAACTCACAACAATTTTAGCCTAAAAGCCAAAAAGTCACTAAAAAGCCAAAAAACCAAAGAACTATACAAAAAAATTAAAGATTCTCTTTTCTCTCTACTTGTTTGCACTCTTTTACATAAAAAGTCATCCCAAACATATTAGTTTTTTTATCTCATATTTTATACAAAAAATCAAAAAGTTACTAAAACAGAACAAGAGGTAACCGAACATAGAGATTGACTTTATATACTCATCTTCTTACTCTCTTCTATTCTCAATTAAACCTATATATATATATTCTTTCTTCCATCCATAGCTGCCAACTGTAACAAATTACCTTCCAAATTCTGCAAGCAACCCAAGCAGCACACACACGACTCCACATCAAAAAAATCAATCACCCATTCTCACCATTAATTAAGAGTAAAATATTTTTGTACCAATTTTCATTTCTTCAAACAAACTGCTTCAACACACTGTCTCCACTTACCCAAACACACTACTTCCAACAACAATCTCTTTATCAATTAAATATATATTTTTATGTATATATATATATATATAGAGAGAGAGAGAGAGAGTTTGGGATCAAAAAGTGTTACATTTGAACAATTAATATTAAAGCAAACATTGTAGAAATACCGTCGTTGATGATGGTGCTTAATATGCTCAATTACTCTTATCAAATATATGGTCAGTGTTGGTCAATCTATGCTGTTGGTTGGGCATTAAAAAATCATGAATCCTGACTTGATTTGGAGGGCGGTGGCTGCGAGACTGATTGGAAGGGTTAACTAGGTTGCTATAGGAGGTGGGAGGGGGTTCAAGGATGGCGTTCTAGGGGAGGGGCTGCAAAGGTGCGATGGATGTGGGTGGTGGTTTGAGGGGAGGAGAGAGAAGGGTAAGGGTGGTCACCAGTGGCAGTAATGGGGGAAGCTGCGGTAGCCACAACAATGGAGGTTGATTAGGATATTCGAAAAGTTAAAAGAAGAAGGAAGAGAGGAGGTGCTAATGGTTGGCGAAGAAAGGTCTAGAGAAAGAAACAATAAAAAATGTAAAAAGAAAAAATGGCAATTTTTGTAGATTTAAAGATGTAGAAAGGATATTTTCGTCATAAAATTTGACTCGCTGTCTACAAAGGCGAGTGGCTCTCACAGCCTATCATCTTAGACGGAAAAGTTAACAGTGCATTTTAGTCTACAAACCACATGAGATTATGTGGTCATTTCCAAATGACAAGTGGGAAAATCCACACATGGGCTAAGCCATAAAGGGGTAAAGTAAAATTTGCCCAAATTTCTAAGTAGCCTCACATGTTTTAGACTCCATTGATAAAGTACTCAAAAACCTTATGGAAAACAAGATTCAAATAATTTTCACTGTGTTTATCCTGAAAAAAGAGGCCAATATTCTAGAGACAAAAAAGATACCAATAGAGCACATAATGTAGCTATTAACTCATCAAGCCAATTCCCTAAATATAATTATATTCCCTTTAACTATTCTTAACTTTCACATGCCAGCTAACCTTCACAACAAAACTTCAACGATACAGCACCCTCGTGAATGATTTAAAGAAGTGTAGCTTATCATTATATGTCGGGCATTTTGTTATTTAGAAAGAAATATTTTCGAGGGAAACAATTTCTACACAAGAATCATGGTGGATTTCCATACATTAGGGACGAAATGTGTTCCTACTCTATTTTGTCAGACAACTCAATTTTCTAAACAAGAGCATTGGCACAATAAAAGAATGATAACAAGATACAAAAACATTGCACAATCATAACAATATTTTGAAAATTCAAAATGGAATGTAATAGGAAATACAATGACCATACTAAATGCAATCAACAGAGAACATACTCATTTGATCCACAAAGATATGTATCCGTCAAACTTGCATTAGTCTCATCATATGGCTCGTTCAAATAATCACACCTATCCACACAAAAAAAAAAAAATTAAAAAACATAAATAATAATAATAATAATAATAATAATAATAATAAAATTAATAATATGAAAAAATAAGTGTCAGTTCTCAACAAGATAGAGGCTAAGAGACAGTGAACAAAGTATAATGAAAAGGAGGTTGAATGTTTGCATTGACAAGTAAAAGTACAACGAAATAAATTCCATATATCTTCCTCAAGCAAAACTACTTTAGGTTCATCAAAATTTCTAAGCAACTTCACGTGTTCTAGGCACGATTGATAAAGTACTCAAACCTAATGAAAAACAAAATTCAAATAATTCAATTTCATTGTGTTTATCCTGAAAACAAGGTCAAAATACAAGACATAAATGATACCAACACTTGCAGTCTAAAAGGACTTAATGTACCTAGTAACTTTTATTTAGATGATTTCATGAACAAGATTAGAGTTAAATTCCTTTCAATGTTCCTTAACTTTCACATGCCTGCTAACTCCACAACAAAACTTCAAAGGTCTAGTATCCTTGTTAATGTTCAAAGAATGCATGCTTATCATTATATATTTTTGTCATTAGAAAAGAATATTTCGGAGGAAAACAATTTCTACATAAAAGCATCATGTGTGTATTTCCAAAAATTAAGCAAGAAACATGTTCCTGGTCTATTTTATTATACTGCTCAATTTCATAACAAGAACAATGCCACAATAGTGAAATATTAACAAGTTACGAAAATGTTGCAAACTCGAAACAATATTTTGAAATTCGAAATGAAATGTAATAACAAATACATTAATCATTACTAAACGCAATCAATAGAGAACATACTCGTCTGATCCAGTAGGATATGCATCCATGAATCTTGCATTAGCCTCAACATCATGATTGTTCAAATAATCACCCCTATCCCCAAAAAAATAAATCTCAGTGCTCTTGAAGATGGTGCCAAAGAGATAGCAAACAAAGTAAAATAAAAAGGAGATCAATGTTAATTCTATGTATCTTCTTCAAGAAAAACTACATTAGGTTCATCAAAATTTCTAGGGTAAATTTCACTTTACCCTTTTATGGTTTGACCCATGTGCGGAGAAACCCCTTGTCATTTGGAAATAACCACACAACCCCCATGTGGTTTGTGGGCCAAAACACACAATCGTTTGGCAACCCACAACAATTTTAGCCTAAAAGCCAAAAAGTCAATAAAAAAACCAAAAAACCAACAAACTATACAAAAAATCAAAGATTCTCTTTTCTCTCAACTTGTTTGCACTCTTTTGCATAAAAAGTCATCCCAAACATACTAATTTTTTTAATCTCAAATTTTAGCCAAAAAATCAAAAGGTTACTAAAACAGAACAAGAGGTAACCGAACATAGAGATTGACTTTATATCCTCATCTTCTTCCTCTCTTCTATTATGAATTAAACCTCTCTATATATATATTCTTTCTTCCATCCATGGCTGCCAACTGTAACAAATACCCTTTCAATTTCTGCAAGCAACCCAAGCGGCACACACACGACTCCACATCAAAAAAATCAATCACCCATTCTCACCATTAATTAAGAGTAAGATATTTTTGTAACAATTTTCATTTCTTCAAACAGACTGCTTCAACACACTGTCTCCACTTGCCCAAACACACTACTTCCAACAACATTCTCTTTATCTATTAAATATATATTTTTATGTATATATATATAGAGAGAGAGAGAAAGAGAGAGAGAGTTTGGGATCAAAGAAGTGTTACATTTGAACAATTAATATTAAAGCAAACATAGCAGAAATACTGTCGTTGATGATGCTGCTATGTGTGATGATGGTGCTTAATATGCTCAATTACTCTTATCAAATATATTGTCAGTGTTCGTCAATCTATGTTGTTGGTTGGGCATTAAAAAATCATGAATCCTGACTTGATTTGGAGGGCAGTGGCTGCGAGACTAAGTGGAAGGGTTAACTAGGTTGCTATGGGAGGTGGGAGGGGGTTCAAGGATGGCGTGCTAGGGGAGGGGCTGCAAAGGTGCGATGGATGTGGGTGGTGGTTTGAGGGGAGGAGAGAGAGGGGTAAGGGTGGTCACCAGTGGCAGTAATGGGGGAAGCTGCGGTAGCCACAACAATGGAGGTTGATTAGGCGATTCAAAAAATGAAAAGAAGAAGGAAGAGAGGAGGTGCTAATGGTTGGGGAATGAAGGTACAGAGAAAGAAACAATAAAAAATATAAAAAGAAAAGATAGCATTTTTTGTAGATTTGAAGATGTAGAAAGGATATTTTCGTCTTAAAATTTGACTCGCTCTCCACAAAGGCGCTCTCACAGCCTATCATCTTAGGCAGAAAAGTTAACGTTGCATTTTAGTCTACAAACCACATGGGATTATGTGGTCATTTCCAGTGTTTTTAAAGGCTCAAGGCGCACTAAGGCGCTGAAGGTCTCTCGGGGCCTAGGCGCAAGGCGCAAGGCGAGGCGTGAGCTTTATTGAAATAAGGCGCACAATCTTCGTAAAAAGAGAAAAATTAATATAGACTAAAATAATTAATTCATAAATAAAAATTATTATGATTATATGATTATACAATTAATTCAAAAAATAAAAATAATTAATTATTATGATTATAACAATTTCAGTATAATGAATGTAATGTATCTAATTTATTTATTTCAGTATAATCTATTTATGTAAGAGTCGCACCCTCAAAAGGTGTGCCCAATCTTTCAAAAGGCGTGCCATCGAAAGGCGTGCCATCAAAAGGCGCGCCATCAAAAGGCGCGCCATCAAAAGGCGCGCCATCAAAAGGCGCGCCATCAAAAGGCGCGCCATCAAAAGGCGCGCCATCAAAAGGCGCGCCATCAAAAGGCGCGCCATCAAAAGGCGCGCCATCAAAAGGCGCGCCATCAAAAGGCGCGCCATCAAAAGGCGCGCCATCAAAAGGCGCGCCATCAAAAGGCGCGCCATCAAAAGGCGCGCCATCAAAAGGCGCGCCATCAAAAGGCGCGCCATCAAAAGGCGCGCCATCAAAAGGCGCGCCATCAAAAGGCGCGCCATCAAAAGGCGCGCCATCAAAAGGCGCGCCATCAAAAGGCGCGCCATCAAAAGGCGCGCCATCAAAAGGCGCGCCATCAAAAGGCGCGCCATCAAAAGGCGCGCCATCAAAAGGCGCGCCATCAAAAGGCGCGCCATCAAAAGGCGCGCCATCAAAAGGCGCGCCATCAAAAGGCGCGCCATCAAAAGGCGCGCCATCAAAAGGCGCGCCATCAAAAGGCGCGCCATCAAAAGGCGCGCCATCCAAATGAGGTGCAGCAGTTAAACTCCCAGCTGGCTCTGCTCCAACGCATGTATAAGGATGCGCGAGCAGAGATAAGTGTGCTAAAGGCGGAAAACAAGGAGCTGAAGCGGAAGGCCACCGTGATGTTCCGATTTGGAGGTCCGCCATATGCTGCAGTGGAGGAGCAAGGGGGAGTGAATGTGCTTGGTGGATTAGGAAGCACAGAGGCAGCACCGTCAAGGACCGCCCAGGACGGAGGCAAAAAGAAGAGACCGGCGGCAGAGTAGGTCGGTGGGTGGCCGTCGGCAGAAAAGAAAACAAATCAGTTGTGGTGGTGATGGTGATCTTGTGTGGTTTTTTTTTTGTCTTTTTTGTTTTTTTTTTCTTTTTTGTTTTTTTTTTTGTTTTTTTTTTTTTGTGGTTGTGGTGTAAAATGTGGATCGGGGTGAATCCCGGAGATGAATAAAATATGGTTTGTTGTGCAAATTGGAAAATGGTTTTGGGTTTTTTTTTATTTTATTAATATAGCACAATTTTTAACATAAGTAAATATTTAATATGTATATTATTAATTTTTTTTTAATAAGAAGAGAAGAGAAGAAGAAAAAAAATCATTAATTTTTTTAATATATATAGTATTTTATTTATTTCTTAAATTTTAAAATTTTTTTTATAAATATTTTTATTTTGAAACATATATATAATTTATTTTAAAACATATATATAATTTATAAAGGTATATATATAATATATAAATAAAAACATATCATATATATAAATATAATTTATAAAAACATAAATAAAAATATATAATAAAAATAAAAAATAAAAAATAAAAAGTTATAATAATATAATATAAATTATAATTTATACTATACATATATCTATACATATATACAGAACCAGAGTCGAAGAGAGAGAGAGAAGAGAGAAACAGGCAAAGTGAGAGAGAGAGAAGGCGAAGGCGAAGGTCGATGGAGGTCGTCGGAGCTCGTCGAAGGTCGGTCGGAGCTCGTCGAAGGTCGATCGAAGCTCGTCGGAGGTCGATCGAAGCTCGAAGGTTGTCAATCGACTGTCGAAGCTTCAAACTCGACGTCACCAGTGGCAGTAATGGGGGAAGCTGCGGTAGCCACAACAATGGAGGTTGATTAGGCGATTCAAAAAATGAAAAGAAGAAGGAAGAGAGGAGGTGCTAATGGTTGGGGAATGAAGGTACAGAGAAAGAAACAATAAAAAATATAAAAAGAAAAGATAGCATTTTTTGTAGATTTGAAGATGTAGAAAGGATATTTTCGTCTTAAAATTTGACTCGCTCTCCACAAAGGCGCTCTCACAGCCTATCATCTTAGGCGGAAAAGTTAACGTTGCATTTTAGTCTACAAACCACATGGGATTATGTGGTCATTTCCAAATGACAAGGGGGAAATCCACACATGGGCTAAGCCATAAACGGGTAAAGTGAAATTTGCCCAAATTTCTAAGCAGCCTCAGATGTTTTAGACTCCATTGATAAAGTACTCAAAACCTTATGGAAAACAAGATTCAAATAATTTTCACTATGTTTATCCTGAAAAAAGAAGCTGATATTCTAGAGACAAAAAAAATACCAATAAAGCACATAATGTAGCTATTAACTCATCAAGCCAATTCCCTAAATATGATAAGAGTTATACTCCCTTTTAACTATTATTAACTTTCACTTGCCAGCTAACCTTCACAACAAAACATCAACGATACAGCACCCTTGTGAATGATTTAAAGAAGTGTAGCTTATCTTTATGTGTTGGGCATTTTGTTATTTAAAAAGAAATATTTTCGAGGGAAACAATCTCCACACAAGTGTCATGGTGGATTTCCAAACATCAAGGACGAAATGCGTTCCTACTCTATTTTGTCATACAACTCAATTTTATAAACAAGAGCATTGGCACAATAAAAGAATGATAACAAGTTACAAAAACATTGCACAATCATAACAATATTTTGAAAATTCGAAATGGAATGTAATAGCAAATACAACGACCATTACTCAATGCAATCAACAGAGAACATACCTAACATACCTATCTGATCCAGAAAGATAGAGGGTAAGAGAAAGCCAAAAATGTTGGATGAAAAGGAGGTCTAACGTTTGCTCCAACAAGTAAAACTACAACAATATGAATTCCATATACTACTTTTGGTTTATCAAAATTTCCATGCAGCTCAAAATGTTGTAGGCTCAATTGACAAAATGCTCAAACCTGATAGAAAACTATATTCAAATAATTGAAATTTCACTATATTTATTATCCTTAAAAAGGAGGCCAAAAATACTATAGACCAAAAAAGATACCAACACTAACGGCCAAAAGCACTTAACGTAGCTATTAACTTTCATTTGGATATTTTCTTAAATATCAAAGTTATATTCCTTTTAACTTTCCTTAAATTTCACATGCTTGCTATACACAACAAAAGCTTGCAACTATATAAAGTTGATACTTCAAAGAAAGGACCTTCTGCTACATAACAAAGAGTGTTCTTCTAAGAAATGGTATCATTAAATCACAACTTAATAAAATAGATAAACAACTGACCATCAACAGAGTGATAAAGTTCACTAGCTGCCCACGTAAACGCAATTTGGCATGGACTAAACCAGATAACAAAGAGGGATGTAGCACATAATTTCTTCCATTGCCCATCCTACCCAAGCTACTTTGGGCATCAAGTTCAAAATTCATAGACTAGATGATGAAGACTATAACACAACAGGCAGGAAGGTAAACAAATATTGAATAAATTGACCAAGTCAAAGTCATATTAACATTGAGGGACAAGCGGGCAGTTACATGCGATTTGATTCCATATGTATCAATACATAACACAAGCATAGAGAACACAAAGGCAAAATAAAAAATAAAAAAAAGGAAAGCAAATGAAACATATAAATTAGTCGAAGGAATGAAAAAAATATTTGCCTAACATACATGACAAAAGCAGAATCAATCCATCTAGCAGGATTATCAAATTTCTCAAAATCATAATGTTGCAGGGTCTCAAGATATGCATAGGGGAACCGATCACCAGCATCATTACATGAGATGGAAACCCGAAAGTTAGCTACACGTGCACACCACCTACTATAGTAATCGTAACCGGCATACAATAAACACATTCTATGGCCACCATCAACATCACCCAAATGGGTAAGAAAGCCCTGGAATTCGTGTCGAGCAAATGGAGGATTGAACACAGGCCGAAGCTCATCTAGCACCCGACAAGGCTTGGCAGTGGCATCTGAATCCGAATCTAACTGATAAGCAACGAGCTGTTGACGGTCCCATGGCATGGCAATTAAAAACCCATCAAATTCAGCTGAAGCACAAGAGATAATAGGGAAAGGAGACAACTTCTCATCAGTAAAATCCCATTTCTTCATATCGGTGTCAAAAACGTAGAAACCTGCCCGGGTACAAAACACTATCTTATGACCCCAAACAAAGTGATGATAGATGTAATCACCCCCTAATTTAAATTGGGCAGGGTCAGTCCAGGGCGGTCTAGGGAGCTCTTTCCACGATCCTCCATTGACCGCGGCTGGATCAAAAACCTCGAAAACAGGCTGGTCAAGTGCTTTGCCATAGTCGCAAATTGGTCGTCTTGCCAGAACATAAAATTTATCATTAACACTGACTACAAGAGGATTGAACTTTGGACCATTCATACTAGGTAAATCCTGGCAGATGCGAATTGATGGATGAGCATCCAAATTCAAGACAAATGATTTTAAATTAGGAACATAATCAACCTCAGAAGAACTATCATCATCATCTTCATCATCATCATCTTTGGTGATTTGCTGCTCTTTTTGACCCCCAACCATGTACAATTTGGAATTCACAGAGATACATCCCATTCCAATCGGTAATTCACCATTGGAATTATCAGAAACTAGTTCAAACTCAGGCCGAGGTTGACTCTCGTCTCCTAATTTACTAACATTGACACGCCATACTTGTTCATCCATCTGCACATACAAATACACATCATGCCGCATCGACATCTTCTTCAAAATCGCTCTCAGCGCCGAACCCTAATCTCTCTCCTCACTTTCCTGGGGAAACTGGGTTGCTTTGCTGCTGGCAGAACTACTTTGACAAAAAATATATGGGTGTGTTTGGTTTGTGTTTGTAGAGTAGTTTTTGAGATAAAAAGTACGAAAATTTGTTTGGTTTACCTTTTTTTAGAAATTGTTTTAGAAAATTATTTTGGGAGAGAATTTTAAAAAAAGTGATTGATTTGATGTGTATGAGAGAGAGAGTGATTTTGGAAAGTAGGTAACCAAACAAAATTCTAAGATTTTTTTTGAAAAAATTTGTTTGGTTTGATTACTCTTGAAAATTTGTTTGTAGAGAATTTTTCCCAAAAATTTTTCTGAAAAACAAACCAAACAGGGCCATATATTTTACAAAAACACCGCTGATCTTTAAAAACGGTGACGTTTTGAACACTTTTTTCTTCTTTTTTTTCTTTTTTTTAGGGCAAACTAAATCAAATGAGGCCGACTGTTTGATAGAGTTGGGTTCGCTGACCATCGAGGCGGCGCCGGAGTTAGGCGGAGAGGCGACGTCGATGATCTGTTTGACACCGGGATTCTCAGCCCTAGTCTTCTCATGGTGGTATGAATTTGTCAAGTGTATAGATTTATGGAATAATTATACAAGGACGTGTATGGATTTTTTAAATTTTATTTTATTTTTTTATATTTATTTTAGGCAAAGAAGTTGTTGCCAAACGGCAACTGTTGGATTGGTTGGTTGGTTGCGTGAGAAGGTGTGTATTCTGACTGTAGCGTGATGAGTCCAGATCCTCTGCCGTAATGAGTCCAGATCCTCTGCCGTAGTTCTTTGTAATGCTTCTTGCTGTGGCACCAAATGACGTCGTTTTTGTCTTCTTCTTTTTTCCCTTCCCTTTCCCCTTGGTTTCTCCTCTCTCAAGCTGAGAATCGTAACCCACCCCGACGGAGCAAGAATAGAGAAATGAAACAAAGAGGCGAGGCGAGGTGAGGCGATGGTACTAGATTCTCAACCTCTATTTGCTAGTTGTTTTCTTGTTTGTATTCACAGAGATAAAAGGGAGACAACAACAAAAAGCTCTTCTTTGGGTCTCGATTCAGGTCTGTGAAGCAAATTTAGCTTTGATTTTGATCCTGGGTGTGAAACTGTACATGTGAGAGATGGACTAAACCGTCGAACGTTTTCGAAATGCACAGAGGGGTTTTCGAGTTTATGCGTTTCTGAAGATACACAGATGAAATACTTGATAACTATGAAAATACATAGTGAAGATTTTTTTCTATGTTACGAGCATGTGTGTGTGTGTGTTTTGGGTTAAGTTGTTTGAACAGGGATGGAATGATCCAAAAGGGGAAATGGGTCTGAACTTGAAAAAAAAAAAAGAGATCGGTTTTGGCTTCACCTAGTAAAAAAGACAAATTAAATCTGTCGAACAAATGATTCGATCATAAATAAAAATTTTCCTCTTCTTCCCTCAAATCTATTTGCTTTTTGAGAAAATATAGAATTTCTTTCCTACTCAATTCAACTTTGGGGAAATGGATCTGAACTTGAAAAAAAAAAAAAAAAATCATTATCAAATCATTTTTTATTTTTATGGTGAAGTAATTCCCATCTGCAATAGCCGGAAAACATATTAACAGTATTGCTTTTAATTCAATGTTGTTTATGGAAGAGTAAACATGATTTGCTTGTTGGGTTTGTCTCTCTCTCAGTTCGTCTCTCTGTTAGGTTAGGTGAGGAACACAAAGCAAAGCAAATGACAGGGAAGAGGAAAAGGGGGAAACACAAAAAATTGGGAAAAAAATTAAACAAAACGACGTCGTTTTGTTGTACCGCAGGAATGATAGCAGGAAACCATGACAGAGGATCTAGACTCGTAGCGTGATGCGATGGTGATATTCAGAAAGTGACTTGACTTGCTGGCATGGGTGATGAAAAGGAGTTATTGGTTGCTGCTGTGTTTTAATGGCACTGTGATTAATGAAATAAATAGAGTTTATGAATTTATATTAAGACATTGAAAAATATAATGAATTGTGATTGGCGTAGAGTTTGATTACTTGACACCCTAGGACTATTCAATAATACAGTGGTGCTAGAGACCACTAATTTAGTGGCTTTAAACCCACCACTAATGAGGTGGCAAAGCAAAAAAAAAAAAGAACAAATGATTCAATCATAAATAAAAAATTTCCTCTTCTTCCCTCAAATCTATTTGCTTTCTGAGAAAATGTAGAATTTCTTTCCAACTCAATTCAACTTTGGGGAAATGGATCTGAACTTGAAAAATAAATAAATAAATAAAATCATTATCAAATCATTTTTTATTTTTATGGTGAAGTAATTCCCATCTGCAATAGCCGGAAAACATATTAACAGTATTGCTTTTAATTCAATGTTGTTTATGGAAGAGAAAACATGATTTGCTTGCTGGGTTTGTCTCTCTCTCATTTCGTCTCTCTGTTAGGTTAGGTGAGGAACACAAAGCAAAGCAAATGACAGGGAAGAGGAAAAGGGGGAAACACAAAAAATTGGGGAAAAAAAATAAAAAAATTAAACAAAACGACGTCGTTTTGTTGTACCGCAGGAATGATAGCAAGAAACCATGACAGAGGATCTGGGCTCGTAGCGCGATGCGATGGTGACATTCAGAAAGTGACTTGACTTGATGGCATGGGTGATGAAAAGGAGTTATTGGTTTCTGCTGTGTTTTAATGGCACTGTAATTAATGAAATAAATAGAGTTTATGAATTTATATTAAGAAATTGAAAAATATAATGAATTGTGATTGGCGGAGAGTTTGATTACTTGACACCCTAGGACTATTCAATAATACAGTGGTGCTAGAGACCACTAATTTAGTGGCTTTAAACCCACCACTAATGAGGTGGCAAAGCAAAAAAAAAAAAGAAACAAACACAACACGTGGTGTGGCAGTGGGCACATCATTAGTGGTAACTCTAATTAGAGCTCCCACTCATTTTCCTTAATAATATTAGTGATACTAGAGACCTCTAATTTAAAGGCTCTGAACACACCTCTAATGAGGTGAAAAAAAAAAACAAAAAAAACAAAAAAACAAAAAAAAAAACAGACACAGCACTGACAGGGGCAGTGGGTGAGACCCACTGCCACATCACTAGTGGCACCTCTAATAACAGGTCCCAAGCATTTTTGTAACAATATTTCAATAAAAAGTCGAACAGTTTGTTTGGTTTGAAAGTAATAAATATTTTGGGGTAAATTATAAATACTTCTCCTGATATTTAATTAAAATATAAATTGCTCCTGTAATTCTAAAAATTACATTCCACCCATGAGATTTTTAATTTCATAACAAATCGCTTCTTTTATTAATAAATTATCAAATTAATTAACAGTTTTTAATGATGTTAGAAATATGTTTCAATTAACAATTTAGATAATTTTATTATTGGATAGGAGAGCAATTATGAATTTTATTTTTTTAATTAATTCTGTTAAATAAATTTTTTTAGCAATGGGGTATTTGTAATTTTTCAAACTATAGGGGCAATTTGTACTTTAAATAAACTTCAAGAGGTGTATCTGTAATTTACCCTAAATTATTTGTCGAATTACACTAATGGTCTTTATAATTTGAAATTTAAATCATTTTAGTTTATGATCTTTTAATTGTGATACGTTTGATTTTAAATTTTGAATTTTATTCTAAATAAGAACAATTGAAGATATCATTTTCTTTGTTAATGAAAAAATGTTCCATTCTAAGGGTAAAGTCATAAATTTGATAAAATATAAACTAGTTTGACAAAAATAAATGTCAAAATGTTATTTTTGAATTTTAAAAATTATTTCTACCCACCAAATATAATTATATAAAAATGATAAATTTTTTACATTTTTTATATTTTTATTTTTTTACCAAATTAATTTTTAGTATGTGTTTCGATATTTATCATGTAATGCAGGGTTGTTTTTGGATACTTATCACGTAATAGATGGTTGTTTTTGTTATTAACAAATATTTTTTAATAGTTATCATGTCATGGATGGTTATTAAACTTTTAATGTGCAGTCGATATGTTTAATATATGAAGTATTTTTAGTTTTGAATGTTTTTAATATAATGGATTGGTTTAATAATGACATCAAAGTTGTCTTGATTTTTGAAATAATATAAATTAATTTAACGAAAATAAATATAAAAAAATAATAATTTTAAAAAATTATTTTTACCCCTCCCAAAAGATAAAATTATGTAAAAATTTGGTTTGTGTTTGTAGAGTAGTTTTTGAGATAAAAAATACGAAAACTTGTTTGGTTTGTCTTTTTTCAGAAATGGTTTTGGAAAATTATTTTGGAGAGAGAGTTTTAAAAAAAATGATTAATTTGATGTGTATGAGAAAGGGTGTGATTTTGGAAAGTAGGTAACCAAACAAAATTTTGAGATCATTTTTGAAAAAATTTGTTTGGCTTGATTACTCTTGAAAATTTGTTTGTAGAGAATTTTTTCCAAAAATTTTTTTGAAAAACAAATCAAACAAAGCCGTGATTTTGGAAAGTAGGTAACCAAACAAAATTTTGAGTTTTTTTTGGAAAAATTTGTTTGGTTTGATTACTCTTGAAAATTTGTTTGTAGAAAATTTTTCCCAAAATTTTTTCTGAAAAACAAACCAAACAAGGCCAAAGTGTTTTAATTTTTTTTCTCCAATTTAATTTTTAATTTCTTAGAAATTTTTTTATGAAAATAGATTTTGAAAACCAAACCAAATAGAATTTTATAACCAAGAAAGTGTCAAATTATTCATTGAAAAAAAAAACTATTACATTTCAAACAGCATACAAGTTAACCAACACAAAATAAGTTGTATGGCGATTTAGCTCTTGAAATGAACCGTTTGCAAAGGAAACATCTTTGATTGTCTTTTTTTGGAATAAGATTCAAAATTCAAGGTCAAATGTGTCACAATTGAAAAGTCAAGGATCAAAGTGACATAAATTCCAAATTACAGGAACTGTTAGTGTAATTCGCCTTAAATTCTTATATTTAATTCGCTTAATTTTAATTTTAAATTTATGATTTTGTCTCAATTCTAACTT